TGGTACCAGGCATCGAATTCAAAACTGCAAGGTTCATGTGGACTAATGGAGATTTAGAGAATGGCTAGGACAGTTTGGGGGTCTGGGGTGAGGGTTATGGAAGAAGTGGGGTTCCAGAAAGCAGGCTTTGAGGTGATGTTGGAAATCCTCCCTTTTGCCGGCCTTGAGACAGAAAGAGTTAGGAATATCTACGATTTCATATCTGAGGACAGGCTGAAGGCTTCTATTTTATCTATCTATCTATCTATATCTATCTATCTATCTATCTATCTATCTATATCTATCTATCTATCTATCTATCTATCTATCTATCTATCTATCTATCTATCTACCTATTTTGTTTTGTTTTTTTGAGACAAGGTCTCACTATGTAGCCCTGGCTGTCCTGGAACTCGCTCTGTAGACCAGGCTAGGTCTCAAACTCACAGAGATTCACCTGTCCTGTCTCCCAAGTGCTAGGATTAAAAGCGTGCGCCACTATGTTTTCAGTTTAGGTGCTTTGATTTTGTGTGTCCTGGATGTGAGAAGTCTGTGCTATGGCATGTGCGTGGAAGGCAGAGGACGACTTTTGGGAGTTAGTTCTCTCCTTCCATCATGTGGGTTCTGGGACAGAACTCAGGCCATCAGTCTTAGTGGCAAGTGCTGCTCCCTGCTGAGCTATCTCGCTCGCTGTGAAGTTGAACGTTTGATCAGGCTAAAACAGCCTTTGGAAAAATTAGGCAGAGCCCGCCAAAAGTGAAGATTTAGCATTACGCTAGGACTCCCCCGCCCCCACCCTGGGATTCTAGGGCTGGTGGGCGTGGCCCATCTTCCAAGTAGTGAAATCCAGCAAGAAGGGCCCCCCGATCTCAGGCAGCCAATCAGCGTATGGCGCACACTTCGCAAACTTTTTCCGTGCTGCTGTGGGTCCCCCGCCTCCCGCCCGGGCCCCGCCCGGCCTGGGCGCTAGAGCGCAGGGCGCGGCCAGGGCGGGGTCTCAGGCAGTGTCCTGCCGATCCGCACAGCCTCCGGCTGTCCAGAGTGACTGCTCCTCCGCAGCCTAGTCCACATCCCCCTTGGCCTTGGTGCACCGGGGTCCGCTAGGATGAGAAGCTGCGGGAGACCGGACCAGCCTCGGGCCGGCCTCTGCTTGCTTCTGGCCTCCCTGCAGCTCGTGTCCTGGACGCTGGCTGGTGAGGCGGGACGAAGGGCTGGAATAGCATTTGGGGGTGCAAGGGAGACCCCCAAGACATGTGTGCAAGGGAGAGGTCGTTCGTACGGGTGCCATGGTGATGTGGAGACCCTAGGGTCTAGCTCTAGCTGATGTGTGTGTATGTGACCACTGGGGAGGGGGATGTTGCCAGGAAACGTGTGGCTGTGTTTACAAGCTGGTGCGTAAAAAACGAATGCTGCGGGTGTGATGCAATCCCAATACTCAAGAGGAAGAGTCAGATAGATTGCTAGTTCAAGACTAGTCTGGGCTATGTACTGAATTTAAGGGCAACTTTGGCTGCATAAGCAGACCGTTTCTAAAGAGGCACGGGGTGGGTGGAGCATAGGGCTGTAGTTGAGTTGCTAGACATGTACATTTTCTAGCATGTACCAAGTGCTGGATTCAATCCTTGGCAACACATAAAACCGAGCATAATGGTGTGTACCCACAACCCCAGGACTGGGACCGTGCAGGCAGGAACATAAGGAATTGAGAGCCAGTCTGAACTACATAGTGAAGTTGAGGCCACCTCGGGCTATATGAGAGTTTGCCTTTAAAAAGCTGTATTTTATAGAAGTTTGTGTATCCGTGTGCACTTGGGTGTGAGGGTTGACTGGGATTGTGTAAATGTGGGTGACAGGGCAGTCCCTGGGAGGGTGTATGTGGTCAGTCTGTGGAGCTGTAATCCTCCCTCTCCTTGTCTGTTACATGAAATAGGGTCTCATGTGGCTCACGCTGGCCTTAAACCTATCATGTGCCCCAGGCTGTAGCCTTGAACTTCTAATCCTGCCTCTATCCTACAAGTGCTAGGATGCCAGGTTATGTAGTGCTGGCGATGGAATCCAGGGCTTCTAGCAAGCACTCTCTCTACAAAGTTTCATCCCCAAACCATAGGGATGATTTTTAAAGCAATTGTGTGTATTACAGATGTGTTTATTTGTCTTTGGTTGGCTGCGGTTGGGATTTAGGGGTTTATATTATTGCCTGTGGGAATATGAGTAGTTGTTTCTGAGGTTGGTGCTGAATGGAGTGGACATATCAGGAACTCACCGTTTTCTTTTTAAAATTATGTTCATCTGTCTGTCTATCTGTCTATCCATCCATCCATCCATCCATCCATCTATCTATCTGTGTGTGTGTGTACTTGTGCCACAGAATGTGTGTCTAGGTCAGACGACAATTTTTGAGTCAGGTCTCTCCTTCCACCATGTAGGTCCCTGGTATCGAACTCAGGTCAGTATTAGGCTTTGTGGCAAGCATCCCACCCCAGCCATCTCTCTGACCCACACAGTTCCCTTTTGTACTTCTCCCAAGGACTTCACACCATCCTCTCTTCTTGCCCGAAATTGGCTCCCCTTCCCCCTCCCCCACCTCCCCTCCCCCACCCTTCTCCCTAGAGCCACAGCATCAGCACCATGGACAGGGCCCTCGGGAGGGCGGCAGCGAGGGGCGAGGCGGGGTGCGGGGCGGGGTGGGGCTGAGCGCCGAGCGCCGAGCGCCGGCGGGGGCGGCCAAGTGGAAGTTGCATCGTACCCCAGCTGCAAGATCCTGGGGTGATTTTCCTGAAGAATTTCTCAGGGCCCCCAAGGGGGTCCCCAGGGCTAAGGGACGGGTGAGTCACCGCTGACGCATGCCCAGCTGTGAGCATCTGGCTTGGTGCCCCAGCCACGCCTCTCAGGGTTCTGCGTGTGGTAATGGTGAGGGGGCACGGTGACTCTCCAAGTGATGGATGACCAGGGCTTCTGTGATCTAGATCACCTCCCAGAAGTGAAGGAAGATGCGTTCTGTCCCTCAGAGGCCACCGGCATACACAGGCCCCACGTTCCCAATTTCTGCTCAATCTGGAGAGGTTGCTGCCCATGTGGAGAACCCCGTGTTGGCCTTTGCCCCATTCTCACGCTCGCTCACACAACCTCAGGGTCATGCAAGCTCAGAATACAAGACCCCTGGGACTCCAGGAATGTGCAACTCGGGCCACACCCAGGCAACCCCATCTGCCACCCGGTCGGAAGAGCACCCTATGTTTTCAGATTCTCACACATGCTTCACCATGGTCCACAGGCAAATGCTGTCATCTTCCACAACCAGTCGCCCACTCAGTGACTTGGTCATATTTTCCCTTGCATGGCGTGGGAGAAATCTCCTCAGGGTTAGAGCCTCCATCTCCTGTTGCAAGTCTGGCCTGTGTGGGGTACATGGTGTGGAAATCTTACTGCCAGGGCTCCCACTCATGCTGAACAATGGCATCAGGTTTGGGATTTTTCTTTTGTACATTTATTTATTTCGTGAGTGGGAGAGAGAGAGAATGTGTGTGTGCCACAGTTCACATGTGGAGGTCAGACAACCTGAAGGAGTGAGGTCTCTCCTTCCACCATGTGGGTTCCTAGGATCAAGTTCAGGCCATGAGGCCTGGCAGCAAGTGCCTTCACTGAGCCGTCCTGTCAGTCCTCAAAACTTTTCATCCAATTCACTGCCTACACCTCAACCAGTAGCAAGTACCATGCTTGCAAAATTTCATGCGTGAATTTTTGGGGAATTCCATCCATGACCCCGCCTGCTCCCTCCCTGTCTGCCTCCTTCCACATCTTAGGTTCCACTGGGCATCTCCACAGGCCTTGGCCGAGGCAGGGAGAGGGTGTGTATGTGGGGGAAGAGTCTGGGAGGTTTCTGACCCCTCCAGCTGGCCCCACAGGCTCAATGGCTCTTGTGTGCCTCCTTGTCATGGAGCCATGAGAGAGAAAGGGCAGTCAGCTGCTGGAAGGTCATTGCAGCGAGGACTCGAGAGATTGAGTCTTTTGGGTTACATGGCAGGAAGGACTTTTGAAATGGGAGTTAGCAGTGACCAAGGGGAGATCCCCTTTTCCACTGCAGAGAAATTGGAATCTGTGTTAGGATGCAGCTCAGTTGGTAAAATATGCGCCTAGGATGCACAAATCCTGTGTTCCATTCTTGAGCTGTATAAAGGGGCATGGCAGTGCTTATCTGTAATCTTAGCACTTTGGAGGTGAGCAGCAAAGGGTCAGGGGTTCAAGGCCAGCCTGGCCCACTGTAGACCTTATCTCGAAAACAAAAACAACAAACTGATCTGGGCAGAGTTGCTCTGCCAGATGATGTTGTGGATCTAAATCTTCCCCAGGGCTCCCGGTCTAGAGGGGACAGCTGGGATGGTCCACTGGGGAATGACCCCTGTGGTTAGCAGGGCCTGAGAGCCCAAATTCAGCCCCAGGGGGGCTGTAATCCAAATACCTCTTAATGACAGCCTGGTCACTGAAGAGACAATTACAGATGATGGGGGGCGGGGGGGGGGGAGAGAGAGAGAGAGAGAGAGAGAGAGAGAGAGAGAGAGAGAGAGAGAGAGAATACCAAGAAAGCAAGATTGATTGTTGATTGACTGATTGAGAACTGAGCCATGGAAAGTGGGGCAGAGAGAAGGTAGGATTGACAGGAGTAAGGGTGCAGGGCCTGGAGCAGGGCTCCACAGAGTTTGGGAGTCAAAGTGGGTAGCTGGGATGGGGGTCTTCATCCAAGTCCCTTCCTCAAGTCTGGCCCCCCAACCCAGTTCTCAGTGATGAAGTGAGCTGAGCCACCCTGGGGTGAGGTCATGGCAGATTCAGCAGAACCTGGCTCCTGCCAAGAGTCTGGGTCAGGGGGTTAGTGGGACAGTTTGCTAGGGGAGGGGACAGACCAGGGGCTTCGGGCCCAGGGGAAGCTCTCACCCGTCCTGCCTAAGCCATATGGATCCAGTTAGCACTGTCCAAGCTGTCTGGGTGGGGCTGCAGGCATGGTTTGGATTAGGGGCCTGTTGGGCCAGACCTAGTCTTTCTTTCTTTTCTGGGATGAGAGAGGGGGAGGGCTGGGGAGGTTATCAGAAATAGATGTCAGAGGGAGGACAGAAGGTGATAAAACTGGTCCCAGGTGAGATGGAGGAACATGGGGCAGGTAAGGGAAGAGTCAGAGGGGAGAGGTCACGGTAGAAGTTAGGTGGGGGAGCCAGATGGAGGAGGCCAGGGAGGGTTAGATGGGAGAAGAGGGAGAAGGCTGTGGACCTGGGAGTCGGGGGCGGGGCATGGGGCTGGGGATCAGAGGAAGGAGGCTATGGGGGTCTAAGAAGAGTGCACCCCCCCCACACACCCCTTTTCCTCTTGTGGGTTTTCCCTAGCAAGGGGGCTCTGTGCCGGGAAGCTGCCCAAGGAGCCAGTGTGGGGGTAGGGAGAAGGGGAAGGCTCCGTTCTGGGCTCTGGCCAGGAGCCTTTGATTCATCCTAGAACTAGGGCCAGCTTTTCTTCTCACCAAAAACTTAGGGGGAAAAATAACCAGAGTCAACAGACTGATGTAGCAGGAACATCTGTGGGGTAGCAGGGGAAATGCTGCTGGTCCCAGGCCGCCTGCTTCTCTCTAGACTGTTAACACTCAGGGGAGGAGGGAGTCCCCAGAATCTGATCAAGCCTTATGGAGTTTGGAGTTTGGGGCTTTTTTTTTTTTTTTTCTTTCCAACTTTCAGATAGAGTCTCATTAAGTTGCTCAGTCTGGCCTTGAACTCACTGTGTAGATCAGGTGGAGATCCTCCTGCCTCAGCCTTCTGAGTAGCTCTCAGGACTGGGGACTGTTCAACCAGGTCTGACTCCTGGGTCGGTTCTGATTACACATCCTCACCCTGGCGTCTCTCTACAGTGGAGCCTGTGGATGTCCTGGAAGCCTTAGGGGTGCACAGGGACCAGGCTGGGGTTACTGAGGCGCCTGGCTTCTGTCCCCAGAGGAGTCCACAGGGTGACCGAGCATTCAGGGTGGGCAAGTTCAGCCTGCTCAGTGTCCCTACATGGCAGCTCTTTCCAGGTGAGTCAGGGCAGGAAGGCTGGGGTGGGGGTCATCCTGGAAGGGTGATGTCACCTCAGTTGTCTAACTGTCCCCTTCCCCTCTGCCCACGCAGATGGGCATTTTCCTGAGAACTTTTCTGTGCTGTTTACTGTGCGGGGCCAGCCAGCCAACCGGTCTGTCCTTCTGTCTATTTACGATGAGAAGGGCGTCCAGCAGCTGGGGCTGGCACTGGGACCAGCTCTGGGTCTCTTTGGTGACTCCTTCAGGCCCCTCCCCAAGCAGGTCAACCTCATGGATGGCAGGTGAGTATGGGAAGGGGAAAGGGTACCCTGTGGAAATCCCTGCACTGAGACTTGTTTCCCTTATAGGTGGCACCGTGTGGCAGTCAGTGTCAGTGGTGACAAGGTGACCCTGGTGGCTGACTGTGAACCTCAGCCTCCCATGTTTGGTCAGGGACCCCGGTTTATCAGCACAGCTGGACTCACCATGATAGGAACCCAGGATAGCAAGGAGGAGACTTTTGAGGTATGGAGTTCAATGGCAGGGGAAACTGAGGCAGAGGCTGGGGAGCTTTGTCTTCAGCCTAAACCAGAGGAGAACATTGAGGAGAAGTGCCCAGCTTCCACCTTGCCCCACAGAGCTGAAGGAAGGGAGCATCATACAAGAGAACATTAGTAAATCAACAGGAAATCAGGTCACCATGTGCACGCAGACTTGGTCCCTGCGGAGTGAGCACTTGTGACTGAGCGCTCGTGACAGGTGACAAGACCACCACACAGTGCAGTGTGCTGGAGGTTAGGCCAGTGTGTGAGCAGGTGGGGATGTTTGCAGAATGGGACCGGTGGCCCTGATTGGTATGGTGTGGAGATTATGCTGTGTGATTTTGCGGTGTGACCCTTCCAGGAGACCCAGCAACCTCATGTCTCCAGTGAGCCGCCCGGTATCTAGAACCTGGCACACAGAGGTGGCCTGAGGGAAGGGACCCGGAGCTTCAGGGGCAGATGTTGGCTGGGTCAGTCACTTTTTCCGTTGCTGTGACAAAATACAAGACAAAGCCTTCCCCAGAAGGTTTTCGTGGGCTCGAAGTTTGAGGCCCCAATCCATCACGGCAAAAGTGTGAGGTGTTAGGTCACATTGCACCACAAGTCAGGAAACAGAGATGGATGCTGGCACTCAGCTCACTTTCTTCTTTTTATCTAGTCCGGGACCCTAGGCCAAGGAATGGTGCCAATCACTTTTTAAAAAATTTTTAATATATTTTATTTTTATGTGTATTTGTGTTTTTGCCATGAGTGTCTCTGGGTCCCCTGAAACTGGAGTTACAGACAGGTGTGAGCTGCCACGTGGGTGCTGGGAATTGAACTCTGGTCCTCTGGAAGAGGTGTCAGCGCTCTTAACCCCTGAGCCATCTCTCCAGCCTGGTGCCAATCACTTTTAAGATGGGTCTCCCTACCTCAGTTAACCTAATGTAGATAATCCCTCGCAGGCATGCCCAGAGGCTTATGATGTAGGTAATTCTAGATCTTGTCAAGTTGACTACGGCCGGAGGGAGGGACGGCTCAGTCAGTAAAGGTTTGGCCTGAGTTCAAACCCAAAATGTGTGTGGTGGAAGGAGAGAACTGAGTCCTGAAGGTTGTGTCTCACCTCCACATGGGAGCGATCTGGCACACCTGTGCACGTGCATACACACACTTTCAATAAATCAATGTAATTTTAAAAAGTTGGCAAGCTTAACCATCACACTGGGTGTGTTTTGTCCTGTGGTGTCATGGGGCTGGTGAGAGTTTTGCCTCTCTGAGTTACAGGTGGAGATGCCACAGGCCTTTGCTTCCTTTGGGTGCTCTGGGTGGGAAGTTCTGAGGCTCCATGGCAGGAAGGGGCAGAGATATGCCAGGGAACAAGGGCCAGAATCACCCTGTGGCTCCTTTTCCTCCTGCGCAGGGAGACATCCAGGAGCTGCTGTTAATTCCAGACCCTCAGGCTGCCTTCCAGGCCTGCGAGCACTACCTCCCTGGCTGTGACACCCCAGATCCCACAACCACAGGGGTGAGTGAGGGGCTCCAGGTGGCAGGTGAGTCATCCCTGGCTTTAGGTATCAAGGAAGAGTGGACTGTGACCCAGAAACAAGGAGATGAGCAACTTTAGACCCTGAGCACAGGCCTAATCCCAGAAGATGACCTTAATGTCAAGTGACAGAACAAGTTAGGTGTGGTGAGGAACACCTGTCATCTCTGTACTCAGGAGGCTGACGCAAGAGGACCATGATTTGGGGGGCAACCTATGCTAGGTAGCAGAACCCTGTCTCCAAAATGTCAGCAACAACAAAAAGTCAGTCTGGGGCCGGGGAGATGGTTCAGTCAGGAAAAACCTTCACTTTCAAGCGCCAGGGCCTGTTTCATCCCCAGAGCCTGTGTGGAAAAGCTGAACATGGTGGCATTTTAACCCCAGTGCCGGGAAGGCAGAGTCAGCCAGATCCCTAGAGCTCACTGGCCGGTCAGCCTGGCCCAACTGGTGAGCTCCAGGCCAGTGGAAAACTCTCAACAATAAAAACAGGTGGATGGTACCTGAGGAATGAGACCCGAGGCTGACCTCTGGCTTCCACATGCATGTGTAACAATTGTACACACTACGATGTGTGTACACACACACACACACACACACACACACACACACACACACACACACAGAGCTAAGTGAACCACAGGCTGAAGAACAACATGGACCATGTCATGGCCCTCAGTGACTCAAGCGATGACATTTCCAATGGGGAGAGTCTCTAGTCCTGACGGGAACTCTTTCCACAGGCCCCTAAGGATGAACCAGAAACAACCACCCCTCGTCGAAAAGGAAAGGGCAAAGGAAAGAAAAAAGGGCGGGGTCGAAAGGGGAAAGGAAGAAAGAAAAAGAACAAGGAGACCTCAAGGCTGGGCCCAACCCCTGGCGCCCCTGAGAACCAGGTAAGAACCTGGGACCTCCCTCTTCGCTCTTCGCTGCCTAATTCCCACCCATCTCTGGCCCTCATCTTTGTGTTGGTCCTCAGGGCCTGGCACCTGAGGTCTGGCTCTCTCAGCCAAAGGGGTTGCCAGGTCCTGTGTCAGGGGCTCTCCCATATCTATTCCACAGAACCTCCAGCCAGGAGGAGCTGAAGGAGACACCTCTGAACACGAGAGGACTTGATGGTTAGGAGGTTCATGATGTATTCTTTTTTTTTTTTTTCCCTCCGAGACAGAGTTTCTCTGTGTAGTTTTGGTGCCTGTCCTGGATCTTGCTCTGTAGACCAGGCTGGCCTCGAACTCACAGAGATCTGCCTGGCTCTGCCTCCCAAGTGCTGGGATTAAAGGCATGCGCCACTGCTGCCTGGCCCACGATGTATTCTTAACGGGATCATCAGGTGGGGTAACTGGTTACAGGTGCATTGGTTATTGTGCCAGTATGTGGGGTTCACTGCTGGCGGTCATTGGTGAGGGCTATTCCTTTGAAGGCACTGTCTGGGAACTCATCTTGAGGTTCTAGCGGGGGAGCACAGATACTCCCATACCCCAGCTTCAGGAGAGACTGGAGCAGGGAGGGAGGAAGGGCACACCTGCCCAGCCAACTAGATCAGCCCAGTCAGCCCCGGAGACCAAGGGCATGACAGAGGTCATGTCCTGATCACCCTCACTTCCTGAGGGTGCTGTTTAGTATTGCTGGTTGAGGAAGCTGTTCACTGAGGTAATGTGTAGGGAGTTTCTAGTTGGAGGTCTCCACTAGGAGACCATTGATAAAGGTCACTGTTGGTGTTTTGGTGTTCTTTGTTGTTTGTGAACTTTTCCTGGGAAGACAGGAACAATAGACAGGGAGCCAATGACCAACAAAGATACAGTTCTACTCAGATCTAGCTTGGGGAACCTGTGAGCTGATTGGGTGTGCTTACAGAGTGAAGGTGAAGGGTCACAGACAGGGGTGTGGGTGACCCTTAAACAGTCTCCCTAAGCGTGGATGCTTCCTTTCCCCTTAGTTGCACAAACGGAGACCCCTTCCGTTAGCTTTCCACACTCAGTACTCTTGCCTTTCCAGAGATCAGGAGATCGTGTGGGCCCAGGCAGAATTACAGATAGCTGGGAGTGGCTGAATCTCTGATGAGAGCCAACGGCCCTCCCCACCACCCCCTTCTGTACGAGAATGGCCACCGGCTTGGTCTTGATGGTCTTTCATAGTCATGGTTGCTTTTGATGAAAACGGCAACAGCTATTAAGGACAGCTCTGGAGGACAGCATTCTGTACTGGTGGCCCTGTTTTATTTCTATAGCTGTGCTAAAATATCCTGAGCAGGGGGCTGGAGAGGTTAGGAGCACTTGCTGCTCTTGCAGAGGGACCCAGTACCCATTTACATGGCTCACAACAGCTTGTAACTCCAGTTCCAAGGGATCTGATGCCCTCTTCAGTGATCTGCACTCATGTGGTGCTCGAGCAAGTACACACACACACAAACACACACACACACACACACACATTTGAAAACAAAAACAATAACAAAACCCCCACCTATCCTGACCAAAAGCAACTTTAGAGGAAAAAAGGGGCTTATTCAACTTGCAATTCCAGGTTACAGTCTGTTACTTTGGGGAGGTCAGGGCAGCAGCTTAAAGTGTCACATCCACAGTCAAGAGCGGAGAGAATAAACCTGTAAATTCCTGCTTGCTTGCGCTCAGCTAGCCTTTGCTTTTCTTACACTGTTCAGAATCCCCTGCATAGGAGGTGCCAACCACAGTGGGCTAGGTCTTTCCACATCAATTAACAATCAAAACAATCGCCCAGAGACATCCCACCGGCCCACCTGATCTAGACAATAACTCACGGACTCCGTTCCAGGGTGATTCTAGGTTAGGTTAAGTTGGCATTAGAACAAATCTATGCACTAGTTTAAGGTTAAATAAAGGTTAAGGGTTATTTGTTAGGGAGATTGTTAGAAGACATGCTGGGGTCATTGTTAGTGTAATAATTGGTTGGGGGTCCCAGAGAAAGCTCATTGTTTTGGGGATCACTAAATAGTGATTTTTGTTGGATGATTCCACTGGTTGGGGTCACAGTGACATCCCTGGATGGAAGGGTATCTTTGGAACCTTTGGTGGGAGTCATGAAGGTGGGACTCACTTAGCAGTCATTGGTGCTAATGATTTGGGTTAATTTTGTAGGTTATTGATAGATGGGTCACTGGGAAGGGGTCCCTTGAAGTCCTTGGTTGGAGGGGGTCACTGGTTGTAACTACATCTCAGTTCCAGATCTTTCTATCCCATATGAATTCCAAGAGAAACATGCCCTCGTCAGCCCCTGGTTCTGACCTATACCCCTGTGGCTTTCTTTTTCTTCCTTGACCCAGTTCTTCTGCAGCTGTCCAGGCTGGAGGAGCTGCAGCCTGGCTGGCTGACCGCTGAGCTGTCATGGGAGAGGACATGTGGGGCTGGGCTTCCGGGAGTCTGACCCTGAGTGCTGGCTCTTGACTTTAATCACTGGGCTCTGGAGCCAATCCAGTTCTGCTTCCAGGCCTGGGAGACTTGGCCCTGTTCTGCTCCTCCTGCATCTGGAAGGTTCCCCCTCTGGCCGCCTTGGAGGGCACCTTCCTTTCCCCCGACCAGCCTCTGCACTCAGTGGGAAGCTGCCTCTGTCTACCCATCCCTGAACTGGGGGCTCCTCTAAGGGAGAGACCTGGCTCTTTTGTGTCTTCGTTATTGGCCTTGCCTCATTCTGCCTCTCTTCCCATGCCTGCTGTAGACCTCCCTCCACACCCTTGAGACAGAGAAGCCTGTTCCCCACCAGTCTCCGACTCCTACACCGTTGGCCATCACCACCACTGTGACTATTGGACGAAATGCCACTGTCTTGCAGGTTGGTGGGAGTGGCTGGTGCTGGGCCAAGGGGCGAGGTGGTAAAGATGATGGACGGCAAACGTTAAGGTCAAGAGCAAACTTGACATTTTCCATGTCCTCAGCAGGGATATGACTCTGGTACTGAAACTGAGCTGAGGACTCCGGAGATTGAGGCTACTGAGGAGGATGAAGAAGGAGGTGGCCCCACCATGGGCCCCAAGTTCCGGGCAGCAGAGCAGTCTTTTCAGACTGAGTTCCAGATCTTTCCTGTGAGTCTAGAGGGGCTGGATCAGGAGATGGACGCATTTACATGCTTTCTCTTACTGTGTTTGTCTTGTGTCAACTGCCTTTGTGTGACCCTAAATGCAGTTGAAAATGTTTACCAAGCACTTAGCAGTGTGACAGAGACCGCTGATGCAATTGGCCTTTAGTGTAAACAGGGTGAGAAGCCGCTTGACTTCCAGTGGAGCCCTGCTTCTGGCTCTCCGGGTGCCCTGCTGCTGAATGGACAGTAGGGGGAGCCAGAGAGTCGGTGGGGAAGCTTGCAGTGTTAGCAAGCCATGGGAGAGAGAATACTTCGCTCTTGTTGCTGCAGGAGCTTGCGATGGTTAGCAAGGTCACCTCAGCAAGCTCTAGAATCACCTAAAACACAAGCCTCTGGGCATGCCCGTGAGGCATTGTCTAGATTAGGTTCAATGAGGGAAGACCCACCCTCAATGTGGGTGGTGCCAGCTCATGGGCTAGCTTCTACTGAACTAAAAGGAGAAAGTGAGATGAGCACCAGGACTCGTCCTCTTGCCCTGCTTTGTGACTGTGGCTGCAGCATGACCAGCTGCTTCCTGGTGCCTTCCCTGCTGTGATCAGCATCACCCCTCAGGGTGTAAGTGGGAACAAGCCCTCCCACCATTAAGTTGCTTCTTGTTGGGTGTTTTGTCCCAGCAAGGAAAGTAGTGCAGACGGGTGCTGGGACCATCAGGTGAGCTGCAGGACAAAGTAGAAAGCCGAGTGCCTCTAGGGGTCTTGTAATGTCTGTTTGACATTCAAGTAAGATTTCAAACCAGGGATGGCTAGGAGATTCTAGAATTCAGGGGAGCCCATCTAGGCTGGGGGAAAAGGCTTGGTACTGACTCCTGAGCAGAGAGACAGTGTCCTTAGTCAAAGCCTCGGGTAGAAGCATGTAGAGGGGCAGCCTGGCTCTCCTCGGTGCTGTCAGAGGACGATTTGGAGTTGAGACTGCTGCTGACTTCTTGGTGCTGGGACGAAATCCCTGATAGACACAACTTGTGGGAGGAGAGGGCTGTTTTGCTCACGTTTCAGAGGGGTCGGTTCACAGTTGCCTGGCCTCGTGCATTTGAGCAGAGCGTCATGGAGATGGGAGGATGTGGTGGAGAGGTTTCAGGTCCTGGAGAGGGGGGGAGGCAGTGAGTAGGGAGTGCTGACTGAGTCTCTGCTGGCATTCTCCCTCCCCCTTTAATTCTGTCTGCCCTCCCTCTGGATGCCTCCCTCAGTCAATTCTCCCTGGAAACACCCAGACACACCCACAGTTGTATCTCACCAATCTCCAAAGTGGTTTCATTTTGTTGTTGATTTTTTTGTTTTTGTTCTTTTCTTTTCTTTTTTGAGAAGGGTCTTACTATGCAGCCCTGGTTATCCTGGAGTGTGCTATATACACCCAGCTGGCCTCCAACTTCCAGAAAGTTGCCCACCTCTGCCACAGGCATGCCAAGCAGCTTGTCTTAGGTGACTCTAGAGCCTATTGAGGTAACAATGTTAACCATCATATCCACCTCCAACAACAAATGCTGGGATTAAAGTGTCTGCCACCACACCTGGCCTCTCTGAGGCAGTTTCAATCCAGTCACCTTTGATGGTGCACGCCTTTAATCTCAGCACTTGGGAGGCAGAGGCAGGCAGATCTCTGAGTTCGAGGCCAGCCTGGTCTACAGAGTGAGATGGAGGACAGCCAGGGCTACACAGAGAAACCCTGTCAAACCCAATGAGGGTAAGTCATCACATGTGTGAAGTGTTGTAACTCATTTGCCACATGGGTGTCACACACTCACTGACTTCCTGAGTTACCTGTGGATGGCCACAGGGTTGAGTAAGGTCCCAGCTTGACTGGGTAAGAGGCAGGGTCGTGACAAGGACCTCTGGAGTTCATGCCCTTCACCTTGGACGACTTTCAGAAGTCAGTCGTCTCCTTCCACGGTGGAGTCCAAGGCTTGAATTCAGGTCGCCAGCCTTGCTGGGCATGCGCTTTCACAAACAGCATCTTTGTCCCTGCCCTCACGTGTCCTCTCTGCCCACTGTCCCCAGGGTGCTGGAGAGAAAAGGGAGCAAAAGGAGAGCCTGCGATAATAGAGCAGGTGAGAGGGTGGGGGGAGAGGATGGGAGGGGGAGAGGATGGGGGAGAGGATGGGGGGAGAGGATGAGGGGAGAGGATGGAGGGGGAGAGGATGGGGGGAGAGGATGGAGGGGAGAGGATGGGGGTGAGGAGGATGGAGGGGAGAGGATGGAGGGGGAGAGGATGAGGGGAGAGGATGGAGGGGAGAGGATGGAGGGGGAGAGGATGGGGGGAGAGGATGGAGGGGGAGAGGATGAAGGGGAGAGGATGGGGGGAGAGGATGGAGGGGAGAGGGTTGGGGTGAGAGGATGGGGGGAGAGGATGGGGGAGAGGATGGAGGGGGAGAGGATGGGGGGAGAGGATGGGGTGAGAGGATGGGAGGGGAGAGGATGGAGGGGAGAGGATGGAGGGGAGAGGATGGGGGGAGAGGATGGGGAGGAGAGGATGGAGGGGAGAGGATGGAGGGGAGAGGATGGGGTGAGAGAATGGAGGGGAGAGGATGGAGGGGAGAGGATGGGGGTGAGAGGATGGGGTGAGAGGATGGAGGGGAGAGGATGGAGGGGAGAGGATGGGGGGAGAGGATGGAGGGGGAGAGGATGGAGGGGAGAGGATGGGGGGGAGAGGATGGAGGGGAGAGGATGGAGGGGAGAGGATGGAGGGGAGAGGATGGAGGGGAGAGGATGGGGGGGAGAGGGATGGAGGGGAGAGGATGGGGTGAGAGGATGGAGGGGACGAGGATGGAGGGGAGAGGATGGAGGGAGAGGATGAGGGGAGAGGATGGAGGGGAGAGGATGGGGGGGGAGAGGATGGGGGGGAGAGGATGGGGGAGAGAGGATGGAGGGGAGAGGATGGAGGGGAGAGGATGGAGGGGAGAGGATGGGGTGAGAGGATGAGGGGGAGAGGATGGAGGGGAGAGGATGGAGGGGAGAGGATGGAGGGGGAGAGGATGAGGGGAGAGGATGGAGGGGAGAGGATGGAGGGAGAGGATGGAGGGGAGAGGATGGAGGGGAGAGGATGGAGGGAGAGGATGAGGGGAGAGGATGGGGGGGAGAGGATGGGGGGGGAGGAGGATGGGGAGAGAGGGATGGAGGGGAGGAGGATGGAGGGGGAGAGGATGGAGGGGAGAGGATGGGGTGAGAGGATGGAGGGGAGAGGATGGGGGGAGAGGATGGAGGGGAGAGGATGGAGGGGAGAGGATGGGGGGGAGAGGATGGAGGGGAGAGGATGGGGTGAGAGGATGGAGGGGAGAGGATGGAGGGGAGAGGATGGAGGGGAGAGGATGGAGGGGAGTGGGATGGGGGGAGAGGATGGGGGGGAGGAGGATGAGGGGAGAGGATGGAGGGGAGAGGATGGAGGGAGAGGATGGAGGGGGAGAGGATGGTGGGGAGAGGATGGAGGGGAGAGGATGGGGGGAGAGGATGGGGGGGAGAGGATGGGGTGAGAGGATGGAGGGGAGAGGATGAGGGGTGAGGATGGAGGGGAGAGGTTGGGGGGAGAGGATGGGGGTGAGAGGATGGGGTGAGAGGATGGAGGGGAGAGGGATGGAGGTGGGAGAGGATGAGGGGAGAGGATGGAGGGGAGAGGTTGAGGGGGAGAGGATGGAGGGGGAGAGGATGGGGGGGAGAGGATGGAGGGGAGAGGATGGAGGGGAGAGGATGGAGGGGGAGAGGATGGGTGGGAGAGGTTGGGGTGATGAGGGATGGAGGGGTGTGGTTGTGAGGGGTGAGGATGGAGGAGGGGAGAGGATGGAGGGTGAGTGGATGGGTTGGAGAGGATGGTAGGTGAGAGGATGGGTGGGGAGAGGATGGAGGGGTGAGGATGAGGGGAGAGAGATGTGGGGGGGAGTGGATGGAGGGTGAGAGGATGGAGGTGAGAGGATGGGGTGAGAGGATGGAGGGAGAGGATGGTGGGGAGAGGATGGTGGGTGAGAGGATGGAGGGATGAGGATGGGGGAGTGAGGTGGAGGGGAGAGTGGTGGTGTGGGAGATGGAGGGTGTGGTGAGATGGATGGGAGGGTGTGAGAGGATGGAGGGTGAGAGGATGGAGGGAGAGGATGGAGGGGAGAGGATGGAGGGAGAGGATGGAGGGGAGGGATGAGAGGGAGAGGATGGAGGGAGAGAGATGGAGGGGAGAGAGATGGAGGGGGAGAGGATGGGGGCTGTGGGGGTGAGGAGGCCTCAGGAGAACAGGGGTCACGCTTCCTTTCCCTCCAAGGGACAGCAGTTTGAGGGACCTGCGGGAGCCCCAGGACCCCGGGTGAGTACTGGTCCTCTTCTCTTCCACCCCATTTCCTCCAGAGCCCACACAAACCCCTGTGCTACTGGACGCTCATGTAGCTGTTCTCGCTCTTCCTTCCTTTCCTTATAAAGCCCAGGCCGGTCTCCATCTCACTGTGGAGCCCAGGCCGTTCTCCATCTCACTGTGGAGCCCAGGTCGGTCTCCATCTCACTGTGGAGCCCAGGTCGGTCTCCATCTCACTGTGGAGCCCAGGCCGGTCTCCATCTCACTATGGAGCCCGGGATGGAATCCATTTCTTGGTCCTTCTGCCTCAGCCTCCAGAGTGCTGGGATTACAGGTGTACACAGAGAGGATTTGGATTATAGTGTTGCCTGGAGGTCACTGGGTATTTAGTACTCAAAAGAGGTGTCAAAAAAAGGTCTACGGTGTGCAGTTGAGAGTGGTACAGGTCACAGATCACGATGTGTGTGTGTGGAGGGGAGCTGGCTAAGACGTAGAGAGGGAGATCTGCCTGAAGTTAAGGTCACAGGTGGGTCAGAAGCAACTATGCTCAAATTTTGCATCTCCTGTGACTTCTCTTTTCTCTGTCTTCACAGGGAATATCTGGTCCTTCAGGTCCTCCAGGCCCTCCAGGCTTCCCTGGCGACCGAGGTCTACCAGTAAGAGACTCCCCACTGAATGCATCCCTCTGCAGGGGTGTGGAGTGTGTCCCTCTGCGGGGTGGGATTTCAGGTTGAGAGTGTGGAGATTTGAATGTGGGTGCCATCAGGCTTGGCAGCACGGTCCCTCACTTGCTGAGTGGTCTTGCTGGAGCTCTCTCCTTTAAAAAATATTTATTTATTTAAGTCTGTATGTGTGCATGTGTGTGCGTGTGCATGTGTGTGTGTGTGCATGTGTGTGTGTGTGCATGTGTGTGTGTGCATGTGTGTGTGTGTGCATGTATGTGTGTGTGTGTGCGCGTGTGTGTCCACACCTGTGCACGTACAGAAAGGGCTTTGGGTCCCTGAAAGCTGGGTTCCATTCCTTTGTGGGATGCTTGGCTTGTCACTTGGGTGCTGGATCCAAACTCCAGTCGTCATGATTATGCATCAAGGACTCTTAACTGCTGAGCCATCTCTCCAGCCCCCATGATTCTACATCTCTCTCTTTTCCTACATCTGTCTGGCTTGTTCATCCCATTTCTGCAGTTCCCGCCACGCCCATCTTTCCTTTCCTTCTTGAATCTCTACTGTAGTGTCTCTGTTGTCACCTTGTCTCCATCTCTCCGCCCCTCTCCTCCTCCTCAGACTCTTCCTCTCCCTCTCTCACTGTTCCCCCTCCCTGTCTTCTTTGGAGTTCTCCCTCTCTGCCCTCTCCTTTTCCGTCCCCACCTCTGTTCCATTCATCCCTCTGTCTCACTCCCTCTCTCAGGGTCCTGCTGGCCTCCCAGGAATCCCAGGTATTGATGGAGTCCGGGGTCTGCCTGGCACTGTGATTATGATGCCGGTAAGGAGGGGAGGGTGATTATGATGCCCTTGGGGACTGGGGCTCCCGCCCTTGGGGAGTGGAGTTCTGACTCCAGGGGCTGCCTTGCTGTGACCTCTACTCATCATCCTGAGTTGCTCCTCAGTTCCATTTTGCAAGCAGCTCGTCGAAAGGACCCCCAGTCTCCTTCCAGCAGGCCCAGGCACAGGCAGTCCTGCAGCAGGCTCAGGTGAGTGGGACAGGGAGTGTGTTTATGTGAGGGACATCAGGAGTAAAGATTCACTCAGGCCTGGTGGGGATACAGAGGAGCTCTCGCCTGAAGATGCTTGCCCTGAGTTTCTGTTGTTATGGTCAAGTCCTGAGCTTGGGTAGTTTATAAGGACCAGATGATTCAGAGCTAATGATTCGGGAGGCTGGGAAGTCCCAGAGCAGGATGCTGCCTCCTGTTGGGTGCATTGTAACCAGTGGAGGGCAGACCAAGACAAGATAGTAAATAGGATGAGACATTACTCTCATAAAAGTACTGATTGCCGTTGTGGGGATCCCACCCTTCTGATTTCGTCTAACCCCAATCTTCCAAAAGGCCCTCCTCAAAGTGTTATCAGCATATGAACTGGGGACAGACTGCAACCTGTGGATGGGGAGGCACACCCTAGCTAGAGCAGTGCTTCTGTGGTCTCGTGGGAAACTCTTGCTTCTCTCTGTCTTTCCAGCTCTCCATGAAAGGCCCCCCTGGTCCAGTGGGGCTCACTGGGCGCCCAGGCCCTGTGGTGAGTAAGGGGTCTGCATTGGGCAAAGGGATACATCCATGCCAGATGGCCACATTGCTCAAGCCATGTTCCCCCATCTCTTGTCTTCCAAGGGCCTCCCTGGATATCCAGGTCTGAAAGGTGAATCAGGAGATGTAGGACCACAGGTGAGTTTGGAGGGATATGGGGGATGGATTAGATGGGGAAAGTTTCCTCCTAAGGATACAGGATAAAATGCCAGTTGGAGAAAATAACAGAAGGAATAGAAATATACCTTTGAAATTTCTGCCCCTCCAAGGGAATGATTTAAATTGGTCCTGGGCTAGGGCCTGGGGCTCAGCTGGGAGAGCCCTTGCCTAACATGCATGAAACTCTGGCTTACAGCCTCAGTACCACATAAACCAGGTGTGGAGGTGCACAGCTGTTATCCCAGCACTTGGGGTGGGGCGGTAGAGGCTGGAGGATCAGGTGGTCAAGGTCATCCTCAGTTACTTATACAGCTGGAGGCCAGGCTGGGCTACAAGAGACCTTGATGAAAAAATAAATAAAACAAGCTGGGTGTGGTGGTATATACCTTTAATCCCAGCACTCAGTAGGCCAGATCTCTGTGAATTCAAGGCCAGCCTGGTCTATATAGTGAGTTCTAGGCCAGCCAGAATCACATGGTGTGAGAAAAAGCAAAAGCCTTCCTTTTTAATTCTTCCTTCTTGTTCTCTACCGCAGGGTCCCCGAGGATTGCAGGGCCCCCCTGGGCCTCCTGGCCGGGAAGGCAAGACAGTGAGTGACTTCTGGGTTCTTGAGTTATGCTGCTCACCACCAGCACCTAATACACAGCCTGGCTTTGTTCCCTCTGGGTCTCCTTTAGCTGAGGGACCTGAGCATTGGAGGCGGGCAGTGGATGCTCTACTGAGTGTACAGTGAGGGGATCTGGCAGGTCATAGCTTCATGGGGACCTGAGAACAGGGGAATGCTTGGCCTGGGATCTGAAGTGTAGGCAGGAGCAGATGAGGTGCAGCCTGAGCAGCACAGCATATAAAAATAATCCTGAAGCTGTGCATGCCAGTGTATGCCTGTAACTCCAGAACTGGGGAGATGAGGCAGGAGAATCAGAAGTTCAAGGTCATCCTTTAACTTCTGCATAAGGTAAAGTGCTTACCGTCAGGTCTAGTGACCTGAGTTCAATTCCGGGACTGACCTGATGGGAGCAGAGAACTGATTTCCGCAAGTTGTCCTCTGACCTCCACATATGAGCCATGGTGTGCGTGCACACACGTACACACACGTACACACACACTCTAAATAAATAATAAACAAACAAATAAATAAGTAAATAAAATGCTTTAAAATTAAAACACTAGCCAGATGTGGTGGCACTGACTTTAATTCTAGCCTAGTGAGTACCAGGCCAGCCAGGGCTACATAGCAAGAGCCTGCCTCGACAAAAACAAAGACAAAAACAAAACAAAACAAAACAAAAGAACGTAGCCCCTGGGAAAGGAGCCAATAGAAGGTAGAACAACATGTCAGTCAAGATGGATGACAGTTGACATGCAGGAGGAAGGCCCTGACAAATTTGTCCTTGACTGCGGCCTCACTTTCTTCATAGGGCCGGGCTGGAGCCGATGGGGCTCGGGGTCTCCCGGGAGACACAGGACCTAAGGTGGGTGATGGGGCCAGGACTGGATGGGGGTGGAGAATGTGAAGGTCAGGGGCTCAAGGCAGCTGCTGTGTCTTCCGACAGGGTGACCGGGGCTTTGATGGCCTTCCAGGGCTGCCTGGTGAGAAGGGCCAGAGGGTGAGTGTGTGAGGTGCCTTCTTCGCATAGCCATGCCCTGTCCCAGCATCCAACGCGCCATTAGCGTCAGAGTGTCACACACCGTCTGAACATTCGTGTCCCCACACTGAGCTTCCCTTCTGAAGAGAGTAGTTCCTGCACACGTTAATCCATTCAAATGTCCCTGCTTCTCTGCTCTAGGGTGACTTTGGACATGTAGGGCAACCTGGTCCCCCAGGAGAGGATGGCGAAAAGGTAAGTTGGAGGAAGGTTTAGGAATAAGGCTGGTTTGGAGGTTCAGAAACCTGAGGGACGCCAGGTGGTGGTGGAGCACGCCTTTAATCCCAGCACTCGGGAGGCAGAGGCAGGCGGATCTCTGTGAGTTCGAGGCCAGCCTGGTCTACAGAGTGAGATCCAGGAAAGGTGCAAAACTACACAGAGAAACCCTGTCTCGAAAAACCAAAAAAAAAGAAACCTGAGGAACAAGGGCTTGGGTGATGACTCAGCAGGAGAGCTCTTGCCTTGAATCCCTCAGCATGCTGGGAAAATGGTTCAATGGTAGAGTCCCAGCATAGAATCCTTCAGTGAGAGGCTGGGGGTGCGGCTCAGTGGTGGAGCACCTGCCTAAAATCCCCCAGTGAGGAGCTGGGACCTTGGCTAGGTGGTGGAGTATTTGCCTACCATATATGAAGCCCTGGTTTCTATTCCTAGCATTGAAAAAAAAAAATTAAACAGAAGCAGGCTGAATGGTATCTGGGGACTGGCTTGGGGCTGGGTTGGAGGAGCAGGAACCCCAGGGGCCCTGCAAGACAGCACTGGAACTGGCAGCTAGCTTTAGGGTTAGGATGTGGGATGCTAAGTTGAGGCCTGGAGTCTGTGAGTTCAGTCTGCAGGAATATGGAGAGGGGCTCCCAGTGAGGGGAGGTTGTACCCCAGGGGCTGTGCTTCCTCACTCCAAATAATAATGACACTTTCCACAGGGCCTGCAGGGACCTCCAGGGCCCACTGGCCAGGCTGGAGAGCCGGTGAGTATTAGGAAACCCCAGACTCCTCTGCTTGTGGAGGGGAAGGGAGAAATCCCCTTGGACCATGAAACTTTTAACAGTATACACCTCTGATGCTGGGGTCATGTGGCCATTTCTTTGCAGGGTCCCCGAGGCCTGATTGGCCCCAGAGGTCTCCCTGGACCCCTGGGACGCCCGGTGAGAATCTTGCTGACTCTCTGCTCCCTGTCATGTGTTTTATCTTCTTCTCACACCTTCCCCCCTCCCCTGTGTGTGTGTGTGTGTGTGTGTGTATGTGTGCACAGCCCACGTTCGGAGATCAGGTTCTCTTTCTTCACCATGTGGGTCCCTGGAATCAAACTCAGGTCATCAGGTTTGGCAGCAGGTGCCTTTACCCACTGAACAATCTCACAGCCTCCCTTTTCCCTCGCTCCTCATTTCTGTGCATGATGTGCACATGCGTGTGTGTGAATGTGATTGCCTGCACCACAATGCGGATGAAATGTGAAAGTCGGAGGACAGTTAGGATTGATGGTTTTCCATCGTGTTTGAGGGTATTTCTGTTGTTTTTCCACCGTGTCCCTGAGGCTAGCTGGCCTGCAAGCACCTCATCTCCCTGTAGGGGATTACAAATGCTAATGCTACCTGTCAGGCTTCTGCATGGATTCTGGGGATTTGAACTCAGACCTTCATGCTTGTGCAGCAAGGGCCTTGACCGTCTCCCCAGCCGGAATATTCTTCCTGTTGCCTGGTGTTTCCTTTTCTACATGTTTCTTGGCAGCTCATACCCAGATCCTGATCTGTCCTCACAGGGTGTGACCGGAAGTGACGGTGCCCCAGGTGCCAAAGGCAACGTGGTGAGTGTCCTGACATCTGTTCCCATGCTCTTCCCACAGTCCAAGCCCACCATCGTCTATAGCCTTGTCCACTTGGAACTCTCCTGACCCTCCACACCCTGTCCCCTCCTGGCTTCACTGAACCCACCCCTTCCCCCACAGGGTCCTCCCGGAGAACCAGGTCCCCCAGGACAGCAAGGAAACCACGGCTCCCAGGTTCAAGCCCTCTGTCCCGACAATGGGGGAGTTGTGGTCGACTGAGCCACAGTCCTCCTCTGCCCAGTTTTGCTGCCCATCTCTCTTCTCACGATTCCCTCACCCTCTTTTTATCCCAGGGAATTCCAGGCCCTCAGGGGCCCATTGGCACTCCTGGGGAAAAGGTAAGTGGCCTTTCGCATGTCATCAGGAGAAGCTTCTCTCAAGGGCCCCTTTGAGGGACTTCCTGCTGATAAATAGTCACATTCCAGAAGCCAGCCCAGAGTGACAGAGTGGCATTGTTGGGGGAGGGTTTCCAGCAGAATCTCACCAAGGCTGGCAGACAGAGGAGTCCTTGTTAGCACAGAAGCCCTCACAGAAAGGACTCAAAAGATGCTAAGGCAGGACAGCCCTTCCTGGGGACCAGAGTGCTCTGTCTTTGTCCCTCTGCACATCTGTGGCTTGCTTTCCTGGCAGATACCCTTGTGTGTGTGTGCACGTGCTCTCGAGTGTGCGTGTGCGTGTGTGCACATGTTCTCTCCAGTGTGCCTGTGTGTGTGTGTGCGCGTGTGTGTGTGAGTGTGTGTGTGTGTGTGCGCGTGAGTGCACGTGTGTGTCTTAGTTTGCTACTCTGTTGCTGCAGTAAAACATTGACTTGAGAGGACAGGGCTCATTTGACCTTTGCTTCCGTGTTATTGAGGGAAGTCAAGGCAGGAATCTGGAGGCAGGAATTGAAGCACAGGACACAGAGGAGTTCTGCTGATTGGCTTGCTCAGCCTGATTTCTTATACAGCCCAGGACCACCTGCCCAGGGTGATACCACTGACAGTGGGCTGGACCCTTCCATAGCATCATCAATCAAGAAAATGCCCCACTTCCTGCAAACATCTGATAGGTCCCAGGGTGGACACAGCCCTGCAAAGCCAATCAGATTCTTCCAGGAATTTAGAAGCAAGAGGCATGGAAACCGGGACTAGAACCCTCTCAGGGCTGCCTAAGCAGCTGTGGGCAGGATGCACTTCCTTCCTTTTCTTTCTTTGTTTCTCTCTCTCTCTCTCTCTCTCTCTCTCTCTCTCTCTCTCTCTCTCTCTCTCTCTCTCTCTGCTTTTCAAGATAGAGTTTCTCTCTGTAGCCCTCGCTGTCCTGGAACTCACTCTGTAGACCAGGTTGGCCTCGAACCTGGAGACCTGCCTGCTTCTTCTGACTCCAGAGTGCTGGGATTAAAGGTCTGTGCCACCACACCCAGTGGGATGTACTTTCAAAGAAAGGCATCTTAAAGATGTGACACACCCTGCAGTCCCAGCAATGGAGTGTGAACCAACCTGGACTAGACTGCAGAACTTTGTCTCAATCAATCAATCAATCAGTAAAATAAAGCAAAGAAACAAAACAAAAGGGTGTGGATGAGAAGCTCCTGACAGCAGTGTATTTCATACTGTTTGTGTCCTTTGTGGTGCTGGGCCTTGTGCATGATAGGCAAGCACTCTGCTACGGAGCTACGCCCCCAGCTCCTCACTAGGGATGAAGGAGATCTACCACTGGACCATGCCCTCAGCCTTCTCATGCTGTGTTTACATCTCTCCCAGATAAGGAGGATTTCAGAAGCTCAGAGAGGACAAGCTGGTTTACCAGAGTCACGAGCAGCAAACGTGGGCGGAGCTGGGCCCCACACCTGTGTTACAGGCTCACCCTGAGCTGCCTGGGTAGAGCCCTCCTGTCCAGGCTCGGAGGCTACTCTTACTGTTCCTCTTCTTTCAGGGTCCCCCAGGAAACCCTGGAATTCCAGGTGTCCCAGGAGCTGAGGGTCCCCCGGTGAGAACCAGGAGCTGGGACAAGGGGAAGGTTTAGGAATCTGTATGTCAGATTTGGGCCTTTGATGAGTTGATATGCTTCTCCACCAGGGTCACCCAGGCCATGAGGGTCCCACAGGAGAAAAGGGGGCCCAGGTGAGTGACCAGAGGGTGGCTGGGCTGGGGAAGAGGAGTACTAAGTAGCCATGGGTCAGTGAGGAGGCAGAGGGCACTGGAACAGGGATGGTTGGATAGCATTGATCTTATTTTCCTTTCAGGGTCCACCAGGGTCAACAGGCCCTCTGGGCTATCCTGGACCTCGGGGTGTGAAGGTAGGTAACACTGGAGGGTTTGAAGGTAGGAAAGTTCATTAGTGTTGGTGTCAGAAAACCAACTTAGTGCCAGGCATGGTGAGCCTGTCGGTGGTCCCAGTATTTGGGAGGCAGAGGCAAGAAGATTGCTGTGAGATTGAGGCTAGCCTGGGGTATACAGTGAGTTCTAGGCCAGCCAGGGCTGAATTGCATTCTTGTGTTTTGAGACCTCACAAACCAAATACTAACAACACACACACACACACACACACACACACACACACACACACACACACACACCTATAATTCCAATATGAGGGGCTGTGTGGGTCTAGGGTGGTTTGGGGAAGACACAGAGAAGGATCAGGATTTTTTTTAAAAAAAACAATTTATCTTTGTTTTATGTGCACTGGTGTATGCATGTATGTCTGTGTGAGGATGTCAGATCTCAGAGTTACAGACAGTTATAAGCTGCCATGTGGGTGCTGGGAATTGAACCCAGGTCCTCTGGTAGAGCAGTTGTGCTCTTAACCACTGAGCCATCTCTCCAGGCCCAGGATCAGGATTTTAAGATTAGCCTCAGTTATACATGTTTGAAGGCAGCCTGTCTCAAAATAAGAATTCAAATGAAGGCAGGGGCTGTAGCTCAGCTGGTGATAGAATGCTTGCCTAGCATGCATGGAAGCCCGGTTCCATCTCCAACACCCTATACACTTAGTGGTGTATGACCGTTGTCCTAGTGTTGAGGAGGTGGAGGCAGAGGGATTGGGAGTTCAGTGTCATCCTTAGCTTTTAGTGAGTTTGAAACCAGCCTGGGCTAAACGAGACTCTGTCTCAAAAACAAAATAAAACAAAACAAAACCACTCCAGCACTTGGGAGGCAGAAGCAAGAGGATCTCTGTGCTTTCTAGGCCATCCTGGTCTACATAGCAAATTCCAGGCTGGGGGTGGTGGTGGTGGAGGCGGGCACGGTTTAGCTACACTCTCAAAAACAAAACAATATAAACAAACAAATGAAAAAAATAGTATACTAATGGCTCTGTTTTATTGTTAGTTACTTTTGTTCATCTTTTTCTTTGCTTAATTTATAAATTGGATTTTATCAGCGTTTGGTGTGTGCACAGAGGAGGCAACCCAGATAAGAGCTGCGTCTTACCACCTCCTGGCAAGCCCTGGGGATTTCCTAGCTTATTTCGCAGAGAAGTGGGGGACTGGGGCTGCAGCCTGGGCTGCATCTGAATCTAGTTACTTGTGGCCAAGGGAGGGGTCAGTGGTGGCCGAAAGCTCTCTTTACTGTGGTGCGGTGAATTATTGTGGGGCTGCAGAAAGCCCTGCTGTTCCCAAACACATAGTTGCATCAGCTCCAACCGCTAGTTCATTTTTCAGCTGAGCCCAATTCCATCTGAGCCAAGTGCAGTTTGTCAGTGTGGTGCAGGCCGGAAGTCAGTCCAGAGCATGCACGGGATAGTCACGCTGTCGCCAGGCACAGAGTCTCCTTGTGGCCAGCACAATGGGGGAAACTCTCCCCTGCCTTTGGAATGAGGCTGGACTCTGGAATGTTCTTTCCGCTGCCAGAAGGAACTGTGGACACTGTGTCCTCAGGAAGTAGAAATGAACGGCAAGGAGATTCAGCTTTCCCTGTTCCCCCTACGCATATGAACTTGGGGCAGGTGGTGGCTACCAGGCATGCAGTGGGTAGGGAAGCTGAGCAAGTACACTGAAGGGCTCTGGGGAGACGGGACCATTTCCTCCAGAGCTCCCCAGCACACGTTTTGCAACTGTTCTAGTAATTTTAGGTCAAGGGAGGAAGTCTAGAACCTTCCTTAAGCCGGGAAGGAGACTGAGAGCTCATCTGAAATTTTTTAGGGTACCTCTGGCAACCGGGGTCTCCAAGGAGAGAAAGGAGAAAGGGTGAGAAGGGAGGGTTCATTGGAGGGGAGGGAGAGGGGGCCCCTGAAGAGACCCTGGCTGCGGCCCTTCCCTAAAGCCCAGGCTTCGGGCCTCTTCCCCCCTCCGCCCTCTTTCTCTTCTCCTACCCACTGTCTCCCTTCTTCTCTCTTCTCCATCTCCATCTCGATTTTTATCTCTCCCCCAGGGAGAGGATGGCTTTCCTGGCTTCAAGGGTGATGGGGGACCAAAAGGCGACCGCGTAAGACCAGCTCGAGATGAGGGGCCGTGTGGGTCTAGGGTGGTCTGGGGAAGAAGGCACAGAGGGAATGAGCTAGGGTTAATAGAGGATGGTAGAGTAGGAACGGCAGGTGAGCGTTTCGGTCCTTTCTTTTTTATTTCAGGGGAACCCAGGACTCCCAGGTCCCAGAGGAGAGGATGGTCCAGAAGGACAAAAGGGGCCCGAGGGACTGGCTGGGGACGAGGGTCCCCCAGGAGCAGCAGGGGAGAAGGTGAATAGACAGGGCTTCCTTACGTCGTCGTCGTTCATTGCCCACCTCTGCACCTTGCTGCTGCCCCCACCCCCCAATATCGAGGTGGAACCAGGGATTTTCACATGTTAGAAAACAGCTGTACTGTAGAGCCACACCCCAGCCCCTCACTGGGGGATTCTAGGCAGGGGCTCTACCTCTGAGCCACACCCCCAGCCCTTCACTGGGGGACTCTAGGCAGGACTCTACCACTGAGACATACCCCAGCCCCTCACTGAGGGATTCTAGGCAGGGGCTTTACCACTGAGCCACACCCCCAGCCCCTCACTGGGGGACTCTAGACAGGGGCTCTACCACTGAGCCACACCCCAGCCCCTCACTGGGGGATTCTAGGCAGGGGCTTTACCACTGAGCCACACCCCCAGCCCCTCACTGGGGGACTCTAGGCAGGGGCTCTACCACTGAGACATACCCCAACCCCTCACTGGGGGGTTCTGCGCAGGGGTGTAAGGCTTATCTAAGCCTCTGTCATACTTAATTTCTTTGCTGTGCATTGTAGAGCAATTCCTTGCGTGCACCTGTGTTTTAATCTCCACAGCTTCTTTGTGTAATAGACATTTTAAAGATTGATTTTGGTTTTGCAGGTCATAGTGGTGCATCCCTTTAATCCCAGCCCTGGTGGGCTGGGACAAAAGCAGGTAGATCTCTGTAAGTTTGAGGCCAGTCATGTCTATCTACATAGTGAGCTCTAGGATGGTCAGAGCTACCCAGTGAGACACTGTCTCAAAAAAAGGACATTTTTATTTATTTATATATATATATATATATTTTATTATTATTTTTATTTATTTATTTATTTATTTTGGTTTTTCGAGACAGGGTTTCTCTGTGTAGCTTTGTGCCTTTCCTGGAACTCACTTGGTAGCCCAGGCTGGCCTCGAACTCACAGAGATCCACCTGGCTCTGCCTCCCGAGTGCTGGGATTAAAGGCGTGCGCCACCACCGCCCGGCTATATTTTTTATTTTTGTTTTTTGAGACAGTTTCTCTGTGTAGCTTTGGCTGTCCTGGAACTCACTCTGTAGACCAGACTGGCTTGAACTCACAGAGATCCACCTGCCTCTGCCTCTTGAGTGCTGGGATTGAAGGTGTGCACCACCACAGCCCAGCAAAAAAGGGAAACATTGTTTTTATTTTTAATTGTGTCTCTCCACGTGAGTCATTCACACATGAGTGTAGGTGCCTCCAGAGGCCATTCCCTGAGCAAGGCTGTGAGCCTCTTGATGTGGGTGCTGGGAACCAAACTGCGGAGCCGGCTCTCCAGCCCCTGTAATCAACATTGTATCCTCACCTTACAGATGAGGACACTGGTGTGCCTGGGTGAGTGAGCTCCCCGCGGGGACACCCTCGTAACAACTCAGCTCCTCACTCACTGTGCAGCCGTTTAGACCTTCCCCTCTAGCCTCTAGCTTGCAAAGTCTGACGTTGTCCTACAATCTTTTTTCTATAGGGCAAGCTTGGGGTGCCAGGTCTCCCAGGTTACCCAGGACGCCCAGGACCTAAGGTAAGAGGCCTTGGAACTGGGGGTGGGCAGGGGACAGGTAGACTGACACCTATGGGTCCAGGATGTGGTCTGAGGGGTGAGCGGTACAGCTCATAGGTGAGAGAGAGCGTAAAATAGGATCCGGGCATCATGGACTTGTTCACAGATAGTCACTGCTTATGACCTACATGACCTTGAGGGAGGCTCTTCTGTAAGCGAGTGTTGCAGCTCTGGTGTGTGGGGGGGGAAGGTATCCTGACTGTTCGGGGAGTCAGGCTATTCCTTGAGTTGGGGTGCAGTGGGGGGTGGTCTCCCGGCAGGATATAGCGACTCTGCTCCACTCCTGGAGAGCTGCTGCCGCTGAGCAAAAGCCCCCACTTAAGGGGGCTTCCCAGCAGAGCTCTGCTTCTTCTCTGGCCCAAGATGTTGCTTCTTCTGCTTCACTTTGCTAAAGGGGAAACCCCTGCAGAAATGTAGCAATCTCCTCCAGCTCTGGCAAAAAGTTGTTACTTTTTTTGCTCTGCCTCGCTCAGCCCCCTAAGGGAACATCTCTGCAATGTTTTTTCTGCTCACTCCCCTAAGGGATATCTCAGCAAGGTTCTTCTCTGCACCAGCAAATGAAGATTTTCACACCCAAGACTCTTTGAGAAAGAGATTTATTTGGGAAGGAGGAGTCCAGGAGAGTGGCTGCCTCTGCCAGGGTGGGAGAGAACAGCCCACAACTGAACAGGCAGGGTTTCTTAGGGGCAGAGTTTCTCCAGGGAACAGACTTTCTGTTCAGGCATTGGTTAGTTTTTCCTGCTTAGGGATTGGTTAGTTTCGTTGGTCAGGGGCAGAGACACCTCTGATTTCAGAAGCAAACTTTTTCTTTCATGGGCCTTTCTTAGTTTTTTACCTCTAATTCTAAGACCAAGGCATATTTCTTTGACTGGCTCTGATCCTAGGGACAAAGTGTGTTTCTTTGGCACTGGTTTCAGAGTCAGGGCATGTTTCTTTGGTTCTGGGTTCAGGGATAAAGTGTTTCTTTCACTGGCTCAGGTCTCAGATCTAGGCTGTGTTTCTCTCCCTGGTTCTGGGCTCCAGGATCAAGTGGGTTTCTTTAGCTGGCCCCTTTTCCCTACATCTTCAGCCCATTTTCTGAGCTGCTGAATAGCGGTGCCTGTGATGTCTGCCTTATTCACTTGATGATGATTTTTGGTGTGGTTGGTTGGTCCATCAACTAGACGCGTGTATTAGACTGTTTTCTATTGCTATAACAAAAATATTTGAAGCTAGATATTTTATGAAGAAAAAAGGTCTGGTTAGCATAGTTTTGAAGACTATCATTCAAAATCAGAGGACTCTACTGATTCAGCCCTAGGTAAAGTCCCTCCCTGGCTGAATTACCTTATTAGGGAATGATGTCATAATGAAAGGAGATATGAGTTAGAGTGATCCAGAGATGGGATGGCCACACGTGCTCCTTAATAACCACCCTCCAAAGACTAGGGAGATCACTGTCAGTACGGTGCTGGCCATGAATGTGAGTCCCAGCTCCCATGTGAAAAGCCTTGTGTGGTGGCACACATCTGTTTTTTTTTTTTTTTTTTTTGTTTTTTGTTTTGTTTTGTTTTTCGAGACAGGGTTTCTCTGTGTAGCTTTGCGCCTTTCCTGGGACTCACTTGGTAGCCCAGGCTGGCCTCGAACTCACAGAGATCCGCCTGGCTCTGCCTCCCGAGTGCTGGGATTAAAGGCGTGCGCCACCACCGCCTGGCCGGTGGCACACATCTGTAACCTCAGCACTGGGGAGGTGGAGAGGAGGGTCCCTGGAGATCAATGGCCAGCCAGGCTAGCCAATGAGCAAGCTCCTGGCTCAGTGAGAGACTTTATCTCGAAGAGTTAAGGTAGAGGGGCTGAGGAGATGGATCAGTGGAGAGAGAGCTTGCGGCGACAAGCATGTGAGTTCAAATTTCCATCACCCACTTACACATCCAGGCGGCAGAAATGGCTCAGCAGTGGAGAACTCTTGCTGCCCTTCCAGAGCTCAGTTCTCCACATTCACGTTGCGAGCTCACAACTGCCTATGACCTCAGCCCCAGGGGACCTGACGTAGTCTGTCCTCTGGCAGCACTCCTACATATGTCTCTCTCTCTCTCTCTCTCTCTCTCTCTCTCTCTCTCTCTCTCTCTCTCACACACACACACACACACACACACACACACACACACACACACACACTAAAACAAAACTCCTTTAAATAGGAAAGAAAAAAATTCAGGCAAGGCATCCAGGGCTGTGGGGGGCTGAAACACGAGGATCACTGGGGCTTGCTGTCCACCAGTCTAACTCCATGTTCAGAGAGAGACCCTGTCTCAAAGGAATATGATGGAGAGCAATACAGGAGGATATCAGGTATCCTGGTGTCTGGCCTCTGCTTGTACACATATTCATTACTGTTTCGGTTTGAGTTTTTATTGCTGTGATGAGACACCATAGCCATGGCAACTTTTATAAAGAAAACATTTAATTGAGGTGGCTCGCTTACAGTTTCAGAGGTTCAGTCCATTCATGGTTGGGAGCATGGAAGCGTGCAGGCAGATGTGGTGCTGCAACAGGAAGTTGACTGAAAGTCACACTAAGGAAGCTTGGGCAAAAGCCCACCCCCACAGTGACACACTTCCTCCAACAAGACCACACCCCCAATGGCACCACTTCCTTTGGGAGCCATTTTCTTTCAAACTACCACATATACCATGTGCGCGCACACACACACACACACACACACACACACACACACACACACACACACATACACACACACATACTAAAGTGGAGCACAGTCAAAGAAGACACCCAGCATTGACTTCCAGCTTCCACATGCGTGTGCACACACAGGAACACACATACACCAAACAAAAATCTCAGATGAGTAAGATAATTCAGTAGATAACGATGCTTGCCTCCAAACCCGCGGACCTGAGTTTGATCCCCAGCACCCACATGGGGGAGGGAGAGAACTGACTCCTGCAAGTTGTCTTCTGACCTCCACATGTGCGCTGTGACTCACATGCACCAGAAAATAAATAAATATAGTAAAAGTGTCTTAGTTTTACTGAGACAGAGTCTCACTGGGTATAGACCAAACTGGTCTTTAACACACAGAGATCCACCTGCCTCAGTCTCCTGAGTGGTTGTCATCAAAATGTTTTTTAAATACCTTTTCTAAATGTTTTTTGAGATTGTATTTATTTTTATTTTATGTGTATAGGTGTTTGCCTTAATATATGTCTGCGCATCATAGATGCATGCAGTGCCTGCAGAGGCCAGAAGAGGGCGTTAGATCCCTGGAACTGGAGTTACAGGATGCTGTGAGCCTGCCATGTGGGTGCTGGGAAGCAAACCCAGGTCCTCTGGAAGAGCAGCCAATGCTCTTGCCTGCTGAACCATCTCTCCAGCCCCCTTTAAAAACCTTCTATGGGATCTAACTGGGTCTCATGAGAACTCTGTTAATCACTTCCTGTTAGCCCTAATGACCTAAAGACCTCCCACTACACTATGCCCCTTAAAGGTCCCCCACCCACATTCCCACACTAAGGATCAAGCTGCCAGCACAGACCAGTGGGGAGGGCGCACAAAGACGTTGGAATCCTAACAGCTGAACCTCACAGAAATGAGGTCTGTCCAGTCTTGAATTGATTATAACCTAACACAGTGTACTTATGCAGAAATGTGCTTATGTAGAAACACACGTACCAGTGTTATGAGGAACAAGAGTGCGTGAGAGATTGTGCTTTCTGTCTGAGCCACACCCCAGACTGCATCATGGGCAACTGAACATGTCTGTTTATGTAAAGTCACTTGGGAACTTGAAGATTTGTGGGAGCAAATGTGAGTGCAGCATTCTCTTTTAGAAATTACATTTATGGGCCCAGTGTGGTGGTGCATGCCTTTGATCCTGGCACTCTGGAGGCAGAGGCAGGTGGATCGCTGAGACTGAGGCTAGTCTGGTCTACAGAACGAGTTCCCAGACAGCTAGGGCTGTTACACAGAGAAACTTTATCTGGAAAAAACCAAACAAATTACATTTATGGGCTGCAGAGATGCTCAGATGTTAAGAGCACTGGCTGCTCTTGCAGAGAACCTGGGTTCAGTTCCCAGTACTACATGGTGGCTGTAATTCTAGCTCCAGGGGGTCCAGTGCCCTTTTCTGTTCCCCATGGGCACTAGGTACAGACACACACACACACACACACACACACACACACACACACACACACACACTAAAGGACAACTTGTGGGAGTCAGCTCTCTCTTTCCACCAAGCGGGTGCTGCAGATCAAACTCAGGCCATTAGGATTGGTAACCAGCACCTTTACCCACCGAACCATCTCACCGGAAACAGAATTCTTCCTGAGTTCCATGTTTTTGCTGTTTGGAGTTGACATGGTTGTCTTGCTCACACCTCACTGGAGACTAACTTTTGTTGTCAAGAAATATTTGGCTCATGGTCTTGAGTGGCCTGTGACTTTCGGCTTCTGGTGGCAGGATGAAGGAGGCAGACAGGAGCCACTCACATCATGAACCAGGAAAGTGGGGACAGGGGAGAGGTGGGGAGAGAAGAGGCAGGAGGGAGGGAGAGAAAGAAAAGGGGAGAGAGAAAAGGGAGAAGGAGAGGGAGAAGGGAGACACAGAGAGACACAGGCACCCAATCCCACTCAAAGATACCCCCATAGCCTAACGACCTCCCACAAATTCCCACCCCACTTTTGTTGGCCTTCCAGTTGCTTGTTGTGTGTGTATTCATGTTCAGATGTGTGTTGGCCTCCGTGTGTGCAGGCATACCTGAGCATGGAAGCTGGACGTTGATGTCCAGTGTCTTCCCATCACTCCCACCTTATATATCGAGGCAGGGTCTCTCACTTGAACCCAGAGCTCACCGATGCCAGTTGTCTAGCTAGCCAGCTTGTTCCTTCGGGGACTCCCTGTCTCTACTTCCTGAGTGACACACCGCCCACCAGCCCCTCTTGTTTTTTGTTCAGACAGGGTCTCATGTAGCTCAGGCTAGCCTCACACTTGGTATGTAGACGAGGCTGACCTTGAACTCCTGATCCTCCTGTTTCACTGTGAATGCTGGGACCACAGGCAGATGCCACCACACCTGTGTTGTGTGGTGCTGCTGGTGGAGCTCAGGACTTCCTGCATGCGAGGCAGGTGTTTTACTCGATGAAAGGGGAGAATGATAGAGTAGCCACCTGACATTCTTCTGTGGCTTCTATATGTGCACCTGCACACACTCACGCACACGCATCACATATGCATGCACATAAAAGTTGTAAATGGGGCTGGAGAGATGGCTCAGAGGATAAGAGCACTGACTGCTCTTCCAGAGGTCCTGAGTTCAATTCCCAGCAACCACATGGTGACTTACAACCATCTGTAATGAGATCTGGTGTCCTCTTCTGGCCTGCAGTCATACATGCTGTATACATAATAAATAAATAAATATTTTAAAAAAAAGTTGTAAATGATGAGTGATGGCTTCGTGTACCCCTAAGAGAAGAACACTTAAGGCGAGAGAAGGGACATGTGCAAAGGTTCTGGGAGCGTGCTAGCGTACCTGGGGAGTTTGGAGGAGGGCAGTGTGGCTGCTGTGGGCAGGACGGTGGAGGGCCCCTCGGAGGAGGCTGGGGCTGGAGGTGATGCAAGAAAGCTGAAGATTGGAGCCAGGGACCAATTCTGCTTCATAATCACTAATCCCAGAATCTCATGTTTAATTCTCTCTGTTCAGGGATCTACTGGATTTCCTGGACCCCTGGGACCGCTGGGGGAGAAGGGCAAAAGGGTGAGTTGTGATGGGGGGGGAGAGGGGGGTATGGGGAGGGTCGGCCTGGCCCAAGGGAGCAGCTTGTGTATGCCAGGAGGTGGGTGTTGGGACAGTTTGTGCTTGTCAGACTAAGTCTTCCTCTGTCAATCAGGGCAGTCTAGACACTCCCACAGGCTTTGCCACAGGCTGTCCTGATCCAGGCAATCCCTCACTGAGACTCTCTCCCTGGATGGTTCCAGATTGCCTCAAACTGACAATGCAAACTAACCATCACAGGCTGGAGCGATGGCTCAGTTAAGAGCACTGGCTGCTCTCCCAGGGGACTGGAGTTTGATTCTCAGCACCCCGTCAGGTGCCTCACAATCATCTATCTGTAGCTCTGGCTCCAGGGGATCTGATGCCGTCTTCTGGCCTCTGGGAACACCTGCCCTTTCATGCACTGACCCCACCCACACACACAGATACACACACACACACACACACACACACACACACACACACACACACACACAAATAACTCTTACAAAAAACCTAACTGGCACAGCTCCACCCCTTGTCAACTGGACATACTAACACATTGGTTTAAATCCATAACTTCCTCTTCCTGTCCCCAGAGTCTCATGCTTATTTCTGAATGTAAAATATAATCTAACCTGGAAGACCTTGTGGTCTTTCAAACTGCCAATGCTTTGAAAGTCAAATACAAGCCGGACAGTGGTGCCACACGCCTTTAATCCCAGCACTCGGGAGGCAGAAGGAGGATAATCTCTGTGAGTTTGAGGCCAGCCTGGTCTACAGAGTGAGTTCCAGGACAGCCAGAGCTGTAACATGAGAAACCCTGTCTCGATGCTCCCCCCGCCCCCCCGCCCAAAAAAAAACCCAAACCAAAAAAGTCAACTACAAAAACAAATTACAGTGCCATAGAGATAATTCCCATTCCACAAGGGAAGAATGGTGAAGGAATACTGGACCAAGGCAAGACTGAAACCCAGCGGGGCAAACTCCAAATTCTGTAGCTCCATGTCGGGTATCTGGGACTTCTGTTTTAAAGGCTTAGATGGCTCCACCCCTCCAGTATTGCTGCCTACGACACACACTTCTCCTAGTTTCACTCCCTGAACACAGTTTTTCCTTTGTAGATGTCCTTGTGTACATACATTCCCACCTGTGGACACTTGTGTACATGTGTTCTCATGAAGCACAGGGCCGTTCTCAATTTCTGTTCTGACTCGCTCTCCAGGGCAAAGCAGGGCAGCCAGGGGACGAAGGAGAACGCGGTGTGCCGGTAAGGAAATGCTCACACGGGGGCACGGGTCTGAGGGGAGATGGGGTCGCCAAGTCCTGGGTGGGCAGGGAAGGGGTTGGGCCCTGCCCCTGTCCCTGGTGGAGTTGGAGGGGTTCTGAGGAAGGGACCCATGTGCGGTGTCCTCTCCCAGACCCACCTACCTTCTCACTTTTCTTTTTTAAAATTTCTTTCTATGCAGGGCGCCCGAGGAGACCGGGGACAGCCAGGGGCCACAGGCCAGCCTGGCCCCAAGGTACGGGAGTGAGTGGGGGATAGGGGATGACCAAGGGCCCTTTGTCTATCTCAGGCTAACTCAGGTCCCTGCCCAGTCCTCCCAGTTGAGTGTGTTCTGGGCTTGAAGCTCGTTTCTTCTGTTCTAGGGTGATGTGGGCCAAAACGGGTCTCCTGGGGCCCCTGGAGAAAAGGTGAGTGAAAGTGTGTGTGAGTTCGTGTGATTCTGAGCAGTGCATGAGTGTGTCTGTGAATGAGTTCAGCCTCCAAGGCCAGAGATCTGTGAGTTCAGTTCCCAGCTGTGTCACTTGCCTGCTGTGTGGCCTCGGGCAAGTTGCTCAACTTCTCTTTGCATCAGTTCCTTCCTTTATAAAATAGGGTAGCCGCGGTCCCGTCTCAGTGGGCTGCAGTGCGTGGAGAATAAGATGACATGCCGTGAGCCAGTGCTCAGCACCACATCCTGCATTCTGTAGGTGCTCAGTGTGTGTTGGCTTTAAAGAAAAACAAAGAAAACAAACTCACTTTGTGTTTGTGTGATTGTGGAGATCAGAGGACAACTCTTGATTCCCTCCATCCGCCTGTGGGATCTGGGGATGGAACTCAGGCCAGGGCTTTATCAGAGCCATCCTGCCAGCACTGTACAGCTTTAAAGGCCTTTTTTTTTTTTTTCCCGAGACAGGGTTTCTCTGTGTAACAGTCCTGGCTTTCCTGGATCTTGCTCTGTAGACCAGGTTGACCTTGAACTCACAGAGATCCACCTGCCTCTGCCTCCCAAGTGCTGGGATTAAAGGCGTGCGCCACCACTGCCCGGCTTTAAGGCCATTTTTGTGGGATTTAGATGCAAGACACTCAGGAGGGATGAAGTAATGATTTTTGGTTCCATTTCAGGGTCTTCCGGGTCTGCAAGGTCCCCCAGGATTCCCTGGACCAAAGGGTCCCCCAGTGAGTGATGCACCCTGACTGAGGCAGTGGGGAAAGTGCAGGGTGGCGCTGCTCCAGTTCTAAACCTTCGTTCCCTCTTCCTTCATTCCCCAGGGTCCTCAGGGGAAAGATGGGGTACCTGGACACCCTGGGCAAAGAGGAGAACTGGTAAGTGACCCTTGACCTCTGACTCCCGACTGTGTTGGGCCCTTGTGTATGGGGGGAGAGGGCGGTGCATGTGCTACATGTGGAGACCAGAAAAGGATGCTGGGTATCTTCCTCTGTCTCTCTCCATCTTACCTTTTAGGACTGAGCCTGAAGCTTGCCATTTTGGCTAGGCTGTCTGGCCAACAATTCCCAAGATCACCTGTCTCCACTCTACAGTGCTGGGGTTACCGGCATGAGAACTATGCATGGCTTTTACGTGGGTGCTGGGGACTCGCCCTCAGGTTCTCTTACATGGGGCTCACTGACTAGGTTAGGCTGGCTTTCCAGCGAGCCCCAGGGAGCCGCTGGTCTCCACCTCCCCATCACCGAGATGAGGAGGGGGACGTAGCACACCTGCCTCTGCATGGATGCTGGGAAGCTGAACAGGACATCTTATACACTGAGCCGTCTCCCCAGGCCCTTGGGCTCTCCTTTTCCCATGTGATACCCCTTTCTCTTTCTCTCCTTAGGGCTTCCAAGGTCAGACGGGCCCCCCTGGACCAGCTGGAGTCCTTGGTCCTCAGGTCAGAGTGGGCTCAACCAACCTTTCTCCAGTTTTCATCACCCGAGGACACATGGAGCTGGAGGTCTCCCCACCTCCAGGCTGCTCAAGATGTCCCTTGCTTGTTTGCAGGGAAAGGTAGGGGACGTGGGGCCTCTGGGTGAGAGGGGCCCTCCAGGGCCCCCTGGACCTCCTGGTGAACAAGGTCTTCCAGGCACAGAAGGCAGAGAAGGGGCCAAGGTAAGACCTTGGATAAACTCCCCAAAGTCATCACCCAAACCATGGGCCTCACGTTGTGGGAAGAGCAGCTGGAAATTAGCATCTTGGGGAGGGCCCAGAGTCTGGCGGAGGCATCCCACTTCTGAGGCTAACTTCCCTCCCTTGGCTCTCTACAGGGTGAGCTAGGACCCCTGGGGTCCCCTGGGAAGGAGGGGCCACCTGGGCCCATGGGCTTTCCTGGTCCCCAAGGAGCCCCCGGTGACCCAGTGAGTATCTTTGGCGCATCCTCTGGAGTGTGGTGCTGAGGGGTAGAGAAGAGGAGGTTCCTTCAGGAGTGGCTACAGTGATGGCAGACTGGAGGGGGCCTGGGGAAAGAGACGTTTGTGGTGGCCGGTGAGCTGGCTCAGCATGTGAAGAGGCTTGCTGCCAAAGCCTGAGGACCTGAGTTCGGTCCCCAAGACCCACATGGTGGAAGGAGAGAACTGACTCTTGCTAGTTGTTCTCTGACCTTGACAAGTGTGCCACGGCAGGTGTGAGCACACACACATACACACACACACACACATAAAGACATGGTAGTGGCGGAGACCTGGAGCAGACAGATCTGCAGAACTCAGCGCCCACCTGCAGTAGGTCTAGGAATAGTGAGGGTTCCCCAAAGTGAAGTAAGTCCTTGGGGTCCCCGGAGATTTTCTGACTGGTCATTTCTTCCCCCAGGGACCCATTGGTTTGAAGGGTGACAAGGGTCCCCCCGGCCCTGTTGGGGCCAATGTAAGTATAAGCACACTGGCCGGGTAGGGAGAGGGCTGGCAAGGGCGGCGTCTTCAGAGCTTCATGCCCTCCTCAGGGAAGAGCTTGAGCTGCAGGGGAATGTGGGCCTGGAGCACACCCGGTTCTGACCCCCACGACCTGAGTCTCACCGGGAAGCCTCAGCTTCCTCCTCTAAAATAGCTGTCATAGGACTGGGTGGGGAGCTGGCTCAGGGTCACACAAGCATGGGGACCTGAGTTTGGAACCCTAGCACCTGAGGGAATGTCGGTGGGCATGGTGGCCCACCTGTAATTCCAGTCCCCAGAGGAAGCCTGTTAGTGGGACTAGCCACATCAGCGGGCCCTGGGTTTGACTGAGGGGCTCTGCCTCAATAGACATGGTGGAAAATGAGGATGAGGCCTGACATCAACCTCAGGCACCACATGCATACGTGTGCACATGCACCCACACATGTGCATACACACACACACACACACACACACACACACACACACACAAATGGAAAAAGAAGAGTATTATATGGGCTGCATGTGATAGTGTGGGAGGTTGAGGCAATAGGATTGTGAATTTGGGGCTAGCCTGGTCTACTTACTAAGGCCCTGTTAAAGGGAAGGGAAGGAGGGAGGGAGGGAGGAAGAAAGGAAAGGGAGATGAAGTGGAAAGGAACAAAAATGAAAAAGAACAGAGAACATGGAGTGCTGGGAAGAGCATTTTAAACAGCTTGTTGCGGGAGGCATCCCAGAGAGGTCGTATTTGAGCCAGGACCTGGAGGAGATGAGCATGGAGTCCTGTGGATACCTGGGGGAGCATGTGCGAAGACCCTGGGGATAGGACCATGCTACAGGTTTGAGGAACAGTCAGGTCTGTGTAGCTGAGGCTGAGTGAGTGAGGAGAGGTTCATGCAGGGCTTCACGGTCCTCAAGTTGAGGAAGGTTTGTGGAGAGGGTCATTCCTCAGGTGCTCAGGGGTGCCCTCTGGCTGTGTGTAAGATATGACACTGGTGCCAAAGCCCTGTCATTTTAAACATTCCTGGCCCTCCACCCCTTTTCCAGGGCTCCCCGGGTGAGCGTGGACCTGTGGGCCCTTCTGGTGGCATTGGTCTTCCTGGCCAGAGTGGTGGGCAAGGCCCTATTGGTCCTGCTGGTGAGAAGGGGTCTCCGGTAAGTGTCTGTTGGGTGACTTTTTCTGGGGAGAGGTGAGCAAGCATCTACTCACTCCAGATAGGACATCAACAACTGACCAATGAACTTCTATTTCTGTGGGCTGGAGAGGGGATGACTCAGTGGGTAGCACTTACTGCTCTTGCAGAGTACCTGAGATCCATTCCCAGCATACGCATTGGTGGCATAGCTGCCTGTAACTCCAGCTCCCCGTGATCTGTTACCCACTTCTGGCCTCCATGGGCAATTGCGCTCATATGCACATACTTACCCTTTCACATATACATACATATATACATAATTAAAAATAAAATAAACTTAAAAAAATCAGTTCTTAAAATGATCTTTCCCAAGTCCATCTTAATGAAGCTGGGAGTTTATTGGGATTACTGACAGGCGCATGGGTGAGGAGTGACTTACAAAATATGGCTGACTCAAAAGTAGCTGCATCACTGAATGGCCATCTCAGTCTGGCTCATGGCTCAGAAGAGCTACATCCCTGGAGCTCCCTGTGCAACTTGCAGGCAGTCTGATAGGCCAAAGACTCTCCTTGGTAGTTGTTAACTGCTTCTACAGCCTTGAGGAAGGGGACTGGTGAATCCTGTAAGTTTCAGGAACTTTCTGAGACTTGCGGGTTGTTTGTATTCTGAGACTTAAGGAATTCTTTTCAAGATGGAAAATTTCAATTTTAAGGAAATGGTTATACAGATGTCCTCCCCTGTGTTCCCTGCTCCTAACTTCTCTCCTTCCTCTTTCTCCATCAGGGAGAACGGGGTGCCCCTGGTCCCACTGGCAAAGATGGTATCCCAGGGCTGCCGGGACTTCAGGGACCCCCTGGAGCTGCGGGGCCTTCTGGTGAGGAAGGAGACAAGGTGAGGAGACCAGGAGAGGGACAGTCCAGGGAAAGAGTGGGTCTGATGGGGGCTGGACACTTCCTAATGTGTTTGTCCTGCAGGGGGAAGTAGGGATGCCTGGTCACAAGGGAAGCAAAGGAGATAAAGGAGATGCGGTGAGTGGGGACCCCCAGGGAGGTGTGCTCATGGGAGGAGATATGGGGTGGCCTGGGCTTTCTGCTTCCCTCAGCCTAGTTTTGGCACCTAGCTCACTGGATCTAAAGGTCCAAAGATCCCCATCTGAGCACTGTTTGAGCTCTGAGAGAGCAGGAGAGTAAGAAAGACCTCTCTAGGGATGGTGACGTGGCTCAGTGGGAAAAGGTGTTGCCACTAAACCCGATGACCTGCATTCCATCCCCAGGACCTTCGTGGTGAAAAAACAATCGACTCTTATAAGATGCCACACACATGCACACACACATACAAAATTCATAAATAAAATAAAAATTTAGAGAAAGGCCCCTCTGGGTCTCAAAATCTCCTATCCATGGTAAAATCTACCACGGCCTGGAGCCTTCAGCCATCCCCCCAGAACTCAAGCTCTACTCCAGCACCAACAGGTTTCACTCCATCCTAGGGGAAGGTTTGTTTTATTTTGCCTTTTTTTTCTTTAGATAAAAGAGTTTATGTGTAACCCAGGCTGGCCTCAAACTTGCTGTGTAGCTGAGGCTGACTTGACTCCTGATCCTCCTCAGTGCTGGAATCACAGGCATGTACCACCATGCTCAGCTCTGATAGAATTTTCTGTTTCGTTTCCCACTTCAGGGCCCACCCGGACCAACAGGGATAAGGGGTCCAGCGGGTCATCCAGGCCCCCCGGTGAGTGCTCCCACCAAGTGACTATACCCTGGATCCTTGAAGGAAGACAGTGTGCCACTCTTCTGAATAAAATCCCAGCATCTTTGCCCAGCCTTGGTGTCCCCTCAGTGCCGACACCCATGATGAACTCAATTCTGACCTTGAATCCCATTTCAGCCCATCCTCTGCTTTCTGCTTTGATCTTCATCAAATCAAATCAAATACCCAAAGCATGCAAATCCTCGCTTCGCCCTGGTCTCCCCACTCCAATGCTGGCCTCAAACGGGAACTTGAACTTTGAATTAGACTCCAGCCTTGCCTTAGTTAATTTTCTGCCACTGTTACAAAATCGCTGAGGCTTAAGTGATTTATCGGGGTGACTTATGGAGGCTAGGAAATCCCTAACAGTGGTGGTGGCATCTGGCCAGGGTCTTCTTGCTTTATCGCAACATAGTGTGTTATTAGCAAGTATGTGAACTCGGGTCTTTTCTTGATCTTTTTTTTTTTTTTTTTTTGAGCTGAGGACCGAACCTAGGGTCTTGTGCTTGCTAGGCAAGCGCTCTACCACTGAGCTAAATCCCCAACCCCATCTTGATCTTCTTGTAAAGCCACTAATACACCATTGTGGGGCCCCACCCTCATGATTGCATCTGATGCTAAGGACTTAAAAAGCCCTACCTCCAAATATTCTCAACACATGTCTTAGTTAGGGTGTCTGTTGCTGTAAAGAGACACCATGACTACAGAAACTCTAATAGAGGAAAACATTTAATTGGGGCTGGCTACAGGTCAGAGGTTTAGTCCGTTATCTTCATGTCGGGTAGCATAGTGGTGTGCATGCAGACATGGTGTTGGAGAGGTAGCTGAGAGTTCTACATCTGGATCTGCAGGCAGCAGGTAGAGAACTGAGACACACTGAGATGCAAAGCCCACCCCCTAGTGGCACTTCCTCCAGCAAGATCACACCCACTCCATCAAGGCCTCACCTCCTAATAGTGCCACTCCCTATGGGCCTATGGGGGGCATTTTAAATCAAACCACCACAACATATGAAGGAGGCTGGGGATGTGATTTAGTTGGCAGAGTGCTTGCCTATCATGCACAAAGTCCCGAGTTTCATCCCTAGCACTCCATAGCAGAAGGATCATGAGTTCAAGGTCATTCTCAGCTACAAAGTGACTTTGACGTCAACCTGGCCTCCGTGAGAGCCTGTCTCAAAGCAACATATGAATTCTAGGATCAATGTTCTAACACACCACCTTTGGGTTTTGTTGAGTAGGCTGATCCAAATCTTTCCCTGAGGCCCTGATATGTGGAGAAAGAACATAGTTCTTCCTCTAAACCAGGAACATGGTTGTCAGAGCCAGCAATGGACTGGGGCCAGGGCCTTGGAGGAGCTGCGGCTTCAGATCCTAAGACCCCAACTCTTTCCACCCTAAGGGCTGTGGTCATCAGGCCCAAGGCTGCTATGTGCTGGTCAAAGACACCCCTGAGGAACCCTATGCCCCCTCGTCAATGCTCACTGATTAGCTTCTTCCGACTTCGTTCCGTTGTGTTGCAGCTTTCTACTGACCTTGTCCCATTTTCCCTTTCAGAAAAAAATGTATATAAGATGCTGTATTTCTTTTGTAGGGAGGGGGATTTTTTGAGACAGGCTTTCTCTTTGTAACAGCCCTGGCTGTCCTGGATCTTGCTCTGTAAAACAGGCTGGCCTCAAACCCACAGAGATCTGCCTGCCTCTGCCTCCCGAGTGCTGGGATTAAAGGCGTGCGCCACCACCGCCATCTTGATGCTGCATTTCCTAATAAGCTTGCTTAGCATAAGACAGCCTGTGCGAGACCTCCCAACCCTGGCTCTTTGTCTTCTTTATCTTCTCATCTCCTGGCCACCTCCCCCTTAGGAACCCTGTCACTGATGGGCGACCTGCTGGTCCAGGTCAGAGGGTCACCAAACCATATTAGGTCATAACTTCCAACCTATCCCTAAAATCCATCTCAACCCCCTACAAACTCTGCTCATAAACTTACTTGAACCACAGTCCTGACTCAGCATGCGTCATTAACTTAGAATGTCACCTGGTACCTTTTTCCTCCGACTTTGATCCTCAGCCTGAACTCCACATCAGACTAAAACCTGACTCTCACCAGACTTGATTCCATCCACTAGCCTCCGTCCTAACCTTTGACCCTTCTGCAACCTTTGATCTGGACACCAACGTGTTTGTCCCCATCTTCTTCACAGGGTGCTGACGGGGCTCAGGGTCGCCGGGGACCCCCTGGCCTCTTTGGGCAGAAGGGAGACGATGGAGTCCGAGGCTTTGTAGGTGTGATTGGTCCTCCAGGTCTGCAGGTCGGTGTTTGAGTTTGGAGGTACCACCTCCCTATCCCCTCACCCCGAGCTCCAATCTTTGTGTGTGTTGTGTTTGTGTGTGTGTTTATCTGTTGCTGTCCCTGAGTCATAGTGGTTTATAGAAATGAAAAGCTCAGAGGGCTGAATGTAATGGTAGACACCTTTAATCCCAGCACTCAGGAGGCAGAGGCAGGTGGATTTCTGTGAGTTTGAGGCCAGCCTGGTCTATGTAGAGTTCCAGGCCAGTGGGCTACATGGTGAGTCTACCTCAAAACAAACAAACAAATTAAAATACGAAGGTTGGCGTGTGTGCATGTGGAGGGTGAGTGACGCTGAGGGTTTTCCTCTATTGTTCTCCATCTAATATTTTCTTTTTGGCATTTAGTGTGTGTGTGTGTGTGTGTGTGTGTGTGTGTGTGTGTGTGTGTGTGTGTGTGTGTGCTCACATGCTCAGTCATGCTATCGCAGCACATGTGTGTGGAGGTCAGAGGACAACTTGTAGGCGCTAGTTCTGCTTCCACAATGTGGGTCCCAGGAATCAAACTCAGGGCGTCAGGCTTGGTGGAAAGCACCTTCACCCACTGAGCCGTTTCGACGACCTTCCACACCTTATTTTTGAGACTCTGTCTCATTGACTCTGGAGCTCCTTGATTTGGCCACTGGCCACCAACAAGCTCCAGGGGTCCTCCCGTCTCTGTCTGGAGCTACAGGCAAGCTCTGCTGTGTCTGGCCTTTTGAGAACGGGCTCTAGGCATCCAGACTCAGGTCCTCACTCTTGTTCAGGAGGTACTTGACCCAATGGGCCACCTCACCAGCTGTCTGTACTACTGTTTTTCTCTTTGTTTCACAGGGGCTGCCGGGCCCTCCTGGGGAGAAGGGCGAGGTTGGAGATGTGGGATCCATGGTATGGACTTGCTAGGGGATATGGAAGATGGGGGATGGGAGTGACCACTGATCTGTCTGAAAGCTCACGGGGTACACTGTCATCTTAAGGATCACACACATAGGCTATTTGTGGCCACTGTAGCCTTTCTGGTGGAATCGTGGGGGTTCATTGCACACTATTTGGTTCTTTGACAGGGTCCTCATGGAGCTCCAGGCCCTCGGGGTCCTCCTGGGCCCAGTGGATCAGAGGTGAGAATTCTGATATGGGCAGAATGCTTCTATGGATCTGCCACACTTCCAGGGACTCACACTCCCCTTGTCTCTCCAGGGCCCTCCAGGGCTGCCTGGAGGAGTAGGTCAGCCTGGTGCCGTGGGTGAGAAGGTAAGAGGAGAGCTTGAGCCTGCCCAGGATGGAGGGGACAAGGCCTGTCCCTATTGCCTACAGCTGTATGGGGACCCTTCTCTCTATTTTCCTTGCTTCCTGTTTTTTTTTTTTTTTTTTTTTGCCTTTCACAGGGTGAGCCAGGGAATACTGGAGACACTGGACCCCCAGGAATTCCCGGCATCCCTGTGAGTCCCTACAGAACATTGCCCTTGTACTCACCATAGGGAACTGCTGACCTTGAGCGTGTCAGGCTACCATGACCTCCAGGCGGTACTTAGAGCATCCCTGATCCCAGATATCCCTGGTTATCTTGATGAGAGACGCTCCCCTGGGAAGATCTCAGGGAATCTATGTACAGTCCCACAAGGGTGCAGGGCTGGGGAGACAGCTAGGGCTTTAAATCCAAACGACAAGCCTTGAATTGGGGGCTGCAGAGGGGGACCATCATCTAATGTACCCAAGGGCAGCACACGCACTAGGGTAGACCTGTGGGCGGCCACATCATCCCCGACTCAGCTCTAGTTCTCTGGCATCAGATCCCCTGGAGCTGGAGTTACAGGTGGTTGCGAGCTGCCTGATGTGGGTGCTAGCAGCTGATTTTGGGTCCTCTGCATGAGTAGTATGTATTCTTAACCACTGGGACACCTTCCAGCCCTGCTAATCTTTACAAATACCCCTATTATATTTATTACTGTGTGCGAGCGGGTTGCGCATGTGTGGAGGTCAGTTCTCTTCCACCGTGGGTCCCGGGGATTGAACCCAGGTTGTCAGGCATCCAAGGCAAGGGTCCTTATCCAAGGTGCACTCATCATTGTTCCCTGAAGAGACCATGCCACTCTGACCTTTGACTTCTGACCTTTGTTTCTACAAAGGGGCCCAAAGGCGAAATAGGCGAAAAGGGGGATTCGGGTCCATCAGGGGCGGCTGGACCTCCAGGCAAGAAGGGACCCCCTGGAGAGGACGGGTCTAAAGGGAACATGGTAAGTCCTGGGAGGAGAAAAAGCAGAGAATGTGGGGTTCTTGTTATATTGAAGCCTGATCCCTAAGATAGGCCGGCACCTCTTATTCCTATTTGTTTTTAAATTTTCTTTTCTTTTTTTTTTTTTTTTTGGTTTTTCGAGACAGGGTTTCTTTGTGTAGTTTTGGTTCCTGTCCTGGATCTTCCTCTGTAGACCAGGCTGGCCTCGAACTCACAGAGATCCGCCTGGCTCTGTCTCCCGAGTGCTGGGATTAAAGGCGTGCGCTACCACTGCCCGGCTAATTTTTCTTTTTCAAAAAAATTTTATGTGTATGGGTATTTTGCCTATATGTATGTCTGTGCACCACCTGTGCACAGGTTTAAAGAGGGTGTCAGATGTTCTGGAGTTAGGGTCATACAGATAGGTGTGAGCCACCACATGGGTGCTGGGAATGGAATCCTGGTCCTCCAGAAGAGCAGCCAGTGCTCTCCACCACTGAGCCATCTCTCCAGCTCCTCTTCTTCCTATTTTCTAATTCTCTGAGCTACCCAGATAAAGACCAAATGAATAGATGAAACAGTGAATGGATGGATGGATGGATGGATGGATGGATGGATGGATGGATGGGTGGGTGGGTGGGTGGGTGGGTGGGTGGATGGATGGATGGATGGATGGATGGATGAGTGAATGAAATATGGAAATACAATGGAGAAGTGGAGCCCTCCTGCTGGCCCCACGCCTAGCCTCTTATGCATGGAGAAAACACTTTACTGCCTGAACTATAAAAACCCAGCCCTTCATTTTGTGTTTTGTTTGTAACGTGTCCCCTACAGCTGGTCTGGGGACATTACCTGGGGTATGAAGGAATGACTCCTCACTCATTCTGAGGTGTGATCAGTAAGCATTTTTATTCTAGGGTCCCACAGGACTCCCTGGAGATCTAGGACCCCCAGGAGATCCTGGAGTTCCGGTGGGTGTCAGCTGTCCCTGTAGTCCAATATGTTCCCTAAATGTGTCTCCGTCTACCCCATCCCCCTAAACCTGGACAAGCTAAGAGGCACGAGTGACCTCTTGCCTTCCAGCCCCACCTCTACCATACCTATCCCAAGACTCTTCCACTGTATCCCCTCCTAGGGTATGGATGGCATCCCAGGGGAGAAGGGAGATGCTGGTGATGTTGGGGGACCGGTGAGTGGGGAGCACGAGGGTGTAGTATTGGGGATGGTGTAGCTCTGGTGGACGGGAGTGGGGTGCCTAGGGTTTCTGCAGGAGCCCCATGATTGTGAGTGGTTGGAGGGGGAGGTGGGTGGTGCTGTGGGACTGTCTTCAGCTGTGAGTTGATGCTGTGGCTTCTCTTACTAAACAGGGGCCACCTGGAGCTTCAGGCGAACCTGGTGCCCGGGGGCTCCCTGGCAAGAGGGTGAGCAATGATCTACTGCCCGAGGGTCTCACGTCAACCTCATGTTAGGCAGTGCAAGAGCCCCACCTCCACAATACCCCACTCTTCTTAAAATTTTTGAAATTATATTAATTAATTAATTAACTTACTTATTTACTATTTATTTAGTGTGCATGTGTGTGTGTGAATATGCCACAAAGTGATCTGTGGAGGTCAGAGGACAGTTTATGAGAGTCCATTCTCTCCTACCATGTGGGTCTCAGGCGACGTTCTTTCTGCCTAGCCACCTTGCCAGCCCACACACCCGTTCTTGACATAAACCTGAATGTTCCACACTGACCCTCACGTTTTCTCTCCCCAGGGTCCCCCTGGCCGCATGGGTCCAGAAGGCAGAGAGGGAGAGAAGGGAGCCAAGGTGAGTGCCCACTTGGGATGGATCCTTGTGCCACCAGAGGCAAGAGGTCATTCACCAGAAGCAGGCCCACCCTCCGCTCTGAGGATCAGGATGCCAGCAGGCAGTCCCCTGACTCTGCCTTCCCCATCCTTGTTCATTTCAGGGAGATGCTGGTCCTGATGGGCCCCCAGGCAGGACAGGCCCCGCTGGGGCTCAAGGGCCCCCTGGACGGCTTGGGCCTGATGGTCTTCCAGGGATCCCTGGTCCTGTGGTAAGTGATGTAAAAATGGAGAGGAGACAGCATGGACAGGGCTTCTGGCTTGGGGCATCATCACAGTTGAGGAGCCATCCCTGGGGGACGATGGAATGTTCACACTGGACACCTCTGTTCTGTCTCCTCCTCAGGGTGGACCAGGCCTCCTGGGACCCCCTGGGCTGATAGGCCCTCCAGGGCCCCTGGTAAGAGACTTCTCTATCCCTGTGATCACAGCTCAGAAAGCCACACTAGGCATCCAGGGACACTGAGTGAGCAGTGGTGCTGATGGTACAGGCTAGCCCCTCACTGCCATCCATCTGCCCATCCTGACCACCCTTCTAACTGACCTTATACACCAAGCCTTCACACCAATGGCCTGTACTCACTACTGACCCCCATCCTGTTCTCTACACTGACCTCCATCTTGTTCTCTACACTGACCTCCATCCTGGTGCTCTACACTGACCCCCATCCTGGTGCTCTACACTGACCCCCATCCTGTTCTCTACACTGACCCCCATCCTGGTGCTCTACACTGACCCCCATCCTGTTCTCTACACTGACCCCCATCCTGTTCTCTACACTGACCCCCATCCTGTCCTCTACACTGACCCCCATCTTGTTTTCTACACTGACCCCCATCCTGTCCTCTACACTGACCCCCATCCTGTTCTCTACACTGACCCCCATCCTGTTCTCTACACTGACCCCCATCCTGTTCTCTACACTGACCCCCATCCTGTTCTCTACACTGACCCCCATCCTGTTCTCTACACTGACCCCCATCCTGTTCTCTACACTGACCCCCATCCTGTCCTCTACACTGACCCCCATCCTGTTCTCTACACTGACCCCCATCTTGTTCTCTACACTGACCCCCATCCTGTCCTCTACACTGACCCCCATCTTGTTTTCTACACTGACCCCCATCCTGTCCTCTACACTGACCCCCATCCTGTTCTCTACACTGACCCCCATCCTGTTCTCTACACTGACCCCCATCCTGTCCTCTACACTGACCCCCATCCTGTCCTCTACACTGACCCCCATCCTGTTCTCTACACTGACCCCCATCCTGTTCTCTACACTGACCCCCATCCTGTTCTCTACACTGACCCCCATCCTGTTCTCTACACTGACCCCCATCCTGTCCTCTACACTGACCCCCATCCTGTCCTCTACACTGACCCCCATCCTGTTCTCTACACTGACCCCCATCCTGTTCTCTACACTGACCCCCACCCTGTTCTCTACACTGACCCCCATCCTGTTCTCTACACTGACCCCCATCCTGTTCTCTACACTGACCCCCATCCTGTGCTCTACACTGACCCCCATCCTGGTGCTCTACACTGACCCCCATCCTGTTCTCTACACTGACCCCCATCCTGGTGCTCTACACTGACCCCCATCCTGGTGCTCTACACTGACCCCCATCCTGTTCTCTACACTGACCCCCATCCTGTTCTCTACACTGACCCCCATCCTGGTGCTCTACACTGACCCCCATCCTGGTGCTCTACACTGACCCCCATCCTGTTCTCTACACTGACCCCCATCCTGTTCTCTACACTGACCCCCATCCTGTTCTCTACACTGACCCCCATCCTGTGCTCTACACTGACCCCCATCCTGGTGCTCTACACTGACCCCCATCCTGTTCTCTACACTGACCCCCATCCTGGTGCTCTACACTGACCCCCATCCTGGTGCTCTACACTGACCCCCATCCTGTTCTCTACACTGACCCCCATCCTGTTCTCTACACTGACCCCCATCCTGGTGCTCTACACTGACCCCCATCCTGGTGCTCTACACTGACCCCCATCCTGTTCTCTACACTGACCCCCATCCTGTTCTCTACACTGACCCCCATCCTGTTCTCTACACTGACCCCCATCCTGGTGCTCCACACTGACCACTCCTGCTGACCCTGACTCCTGGCATCCTCAGCCATCCTCCCTCCCACCCCCATTTTTCTCACTACCCCTCCTGTCTCCTGACTGTCCCATAGTCCCATCCCTGGTCATTTGCACTTGAAAGCTGGGTGGTTCCCTGGTGTACCTTTCCATCCCAAGTTTTCAAGGAATCTTAAGCTGAACCTCATCTTTTCCCAGGGCCCTCCTGGCCTCCCAGGGCTGAAGGGAGATGCTGGCCCCAAGGGGGAGAAGGTAAGCCGTCTCCTTCTCTTGTTCTCCATATAGCCCTCACCTTTACCTCCTGCCCTGGCCAGAGGGCTGGGAGAATTGGGTGTTTACTGCTCCCCAAATCATCCCTTCCAAGGCTCCAGGAGAAAAAATTTCCCAACGTATCTGCTTGGTGTACCTTTCTCTTTCAGGGCCACATTGGGCAAATAGGCCTCATCGGTCCCCCAGGGGAGGCCGGTGAGAAAGGCGATCAGGGGTTGCCAGGAGTGCAGGGTCCTCCAGGCCCCCAGGGAGACACCGTGAGTGTGTGCCCTGTCCTGGGCATGGAAAAAAATTATTCAAAGGGGGTGGTTTGAAGGGTGGGGGATGTGGAATGGGAGGGGCTGTGGGGGGGATGGGGGCCTATAACTGGGACTGTCATGTAGGAAGCTATGTCTGGGTGCTTGAGGGCCTTTTAGAAGAGTTGGGAGTCTGTGTATGACTTCAGGCATTCTTCTGAGTGGACAGAAAGATGTCTGGGTAATAGCGCTGAACCCCATTAAGGCTGACCCCAATGTCCCCTTTCCAGGGTCTTCCTGGTCCGGTTGGCTCGTTAGGTCACCCTGGTCCCCCAGGTGTGGTGGTGAGTGTGGGGATTGGTGGGATGGAGAGGTCACCGTGATGGACGGGGTTGGGACCTCGGCATTCCCTCTCTCTTCCCACAGGGCCCTCTCGGACAGAAGGGCTCCAAGGGGTCCCCGGTGAGTGACACTGCCCCCCTGGGTCTCCATGTCCCAGCTCCCCACCCCTCTCCAGCTCACCCTCCCAGCCATTGTCCATTGGTTCACTCCTCCGGTGCTCAGCCCCTACGGCTGCATTCCTGGAGTCTGAGGTGCTGTGCATTGTAGGAGGGGTTTCTGAACTGCTCTAAAAGGAAATAGTTCTGCTGACTAAGTTGTGACTTGCAGGAGACACTGTGTGTTGATTTCAGAGGACAAGGGAAGGAAATACACAATTTGGGTTTAGTGCAGGACACTGGGAACCTCTCCTGGGACCTGCGTGTGTACATATATACAAATGTATGGACACACGTATATATGTGTGTGCCTTGCCCTGGGTGGGGAGAAAAATGTTCAAGGGGGCTGTTTTAAAGGGGGAATGTGGGTCAGGAATGAGGGGGACTGTGTTGGGGAAAGTGGGGGGGCTATAATGGGGAGTTTAATGTGGGAGTCTGTCTGGGGGCTTGGGAGGCTTCTAGAGGAGTGTATATGCATGTCTACATGTATACATGGGTGTATGCATGCACAGTTGTATATGCATGCACATGCATGTGTATGTGATTGCAAGAGTGTGGGTGTGTATGCATACATGTGTGTGCAAGTGAACCCATGTGTTCAGATATATGTGTGTGCGTGTGTTTATCTATGTATGTGTGTATGTATATATGTGTGTGCATGTTGCACGTGCATGTGTTTGTGTTTGTAGAACCAGGTCTCCACTAACAGGAGTCATTCCAAAGTGATCTCTCCCATAGGGATCTCTTGGTCCTCGTGGAGACACTGGACCAGCGGGTCCCCCTGGCCCCCCGGTGAGTTCCCAGAATCTGGAGGAGAGCAGGAATCAGGCTTGGGGTGTTCCTAATGGGTCCCCCAGAACCCAGCCCAGTGTTCCAGTCTGTGGCTCAAAAGTGCAGTTCCTTGAAAGCCTTGGGAGGAGTGCAGTACAGTGTGTGTGTGTGTGTGGGGGGTGAACACCTGTCATTCCAGCACTGAGGAGGTGGAGGCAGGAGGATCAGGAGTTCAAGGTTGTCCTCAGCTATAGTGAGTTTGAGGCCAGCCTGGGGTACATGAGACCCTGTCTCAAAACAAGCAAGTCGGGCTAGAGAGATGACTCACAGGTTAAGAGCACTGGCTGCTCTTCCAGAGGTCCTGAGTTCAGTTCCCAGCACCCACATGGTGGCTCACAACCATCTACGAGATCTGGTGCCCTCTCCTGGCCTGAAGGCATACACGGCGGCAGGATACTGGATGCATAATAAATACATTAATAAATCTTAAAAAACAAAACAAAAACAAATACCCAAAAGAGACCTTCAAAGACAGTCTGGGCTTGGGGGTTGTGGCAGTCCCAGTGGGGCCGTTTGTGAGGCTGTGACCTGGGCTTTTCTCCCTCGGGTGTGGCTGTTCCATTCCGCCTCTCCTTCCCTGCATCTCCATCCTCTACCCATCTCTGTCTCAATATCTATTTCACTTCTTTCATTATCTCCCTCTTCCCTCCTGCCCTCCCCTCTTGCCCCTCTCCTTCCTCTTCTGAATCGCTGCCTCCCATGTCTGTGCATCTATCTGATTCTCCTCCTCCATTCCCACTCCCTTGTGAGTCCAGGGTCCCCCTGCTGAGCTGCACAGCCTGCGAAGGCGCCGCTCAGTGTTGGATACTCTGGAAGGCGGGATGGAGGAGGTGGTGGCCTCACTCAATTCGCTGAGCTTGGAGCTGAAGCAGCTGCAGCGACCTCCTGGCACAGCCGAACACCCAGGCCTCATATGCCACGAGCTTCACCGCAACCACCCACACCTGCCAGATGGTGAGGTCTAGGTCCCTCCCGGGAAGGGCAAGCGAGCATTTCAGCATTCATATCCACTGATCCATTTGGGTCTGGCTCTGCGGTAGGAGACTACTGGATTGACCCCAACCAGGGCTGCTCACGGGATGCCTTCAAGGTTTTCTGCAACTTCACTGCGGGAGGGGAGACCTGTCTCTATCCAGACAAGAAGTTTGAGATGGTGAGTGAAGGAAGTCATCCTGTCTCTTTCTCACCTCCTCCATCTTTGGCTACTTTGTGGGGCCTTATCCTGCCTTCAAATGACACATACCCCCCACCCCCCGCCTGTGTCAAGTAATATCCTGTAGTAGAGGACCTAAATGCAAATCTCAAGGCAAGGGTGCTGCCCAGCAACAGAGCACCATGGGGTCCCATCCTCTGTGCTTGCCAAGCATACACAGGGGCAGGGGTAGGGTGGGGTGGCTGGGTTTCATCCCCGAAGCTTAAAGAACATGCATGGCCCCAGGCTCCATTCCCTAGCGGTACCAAGTCTTCTGTCCCCTCTACTCGAGCATGGGTTCCATGGGCCCTGGGTTCCACCCAGTCACCACAGAGAATGCTGGAAATCGCTACATGTGGTTTTGAGGGAGCTGTGGACCCACCCGCCAGCCCCCTTGCTGTGCCCTTGCTGAGGGCATTGCCTATGGCATCCATGATCCACGATGTCCAGTATGAGGAGGCAGAGGGGACTTGGGTTGGTGCCCAATGACCTTCCCATCCTCCCTCAGGTGAAACTGGCCTCCTGGTCCAGAGAGAAGCCTGGAGACTGGTACAGCACCTTCCGCCGAGGGAAGAAGGTGGGTTGCCAAAGGCTGACTTGGAGGATGGCATGAGAAGTTATGGGAACTGGTGTGGGAATTCGGGGTGAGGGGTGAGATAAACAGGATAGACAGATAAGGACGTGCACTTACCTACAAAGCCCTGGGCTCCATCCCTAGCACCACATAAACCAGAACTTCAGGAGTTCAAGGCCATCCTCAGCTACATCAGGAATTCGAGACCAGTTTGGGCTATTGAGACTTGGGAGAAGTGTCAGGTGTGCCGGTGAACTGAGTCTGGGAGGTGCGTTCCTCACAGGAGCCTGGGCTGAGGAGCTTCTCACCCTTTCTCTGCCTCGCTGCAGTTCTCCTACGTGGATGCTGATGGCTCCCCAGTGAACGTGGTCCAGTTGACCTTCCTGAAGCTGCTGAGTGCTGCAGCCCATCAGAGGTTCACTTACTCCTGCCAGAACTCAGTGGCCTGGCTGGATGAAGCTGCGGGTGACCACAGGCGCTCCATCCGCTTCCGAGGGACCAACTGGGAAGAGCTGTCCTTCAGCCAGACGACAGCAGCTACCGTCAAGGTCTCCCATGATGGCTGCCGGGTAAGGCCAGGGGGGCCAGGGGGCTGGCTAGGGTGGAGCGGAGAAGCCTCCGCTCACCTTCTCTCTAACTCACCTCCGTGCCCTCTCGTGGTCAGCTCCGGAAGGGACAGGCGAAGACCCTCTTCGAATTCAGCTCTTCTCGTGTGGGTTTTCTGCCTCTGTGGGACGTGGCTGCCATTGACTTTGGCCAGACGAACCAGAAGTTTGGATTTGAACTTGGCCCCATCTGCTTTAGCAGCTGAGCTTTTGTGGTGGGAAGGAAGTTGAAGGGAGCCCACATGGGGCTACTCGGTGCTGAGGCTTAGCGGCCATTCTATTTATCACCAGGGACTCTGGGTTCAGGGTTGTGTGACTCTGTCTATTCCTTCTCCCCTGTGGGGGGTGAGGGTGGAGAGCCCAGCTCCCTCCTGTTCATCCCAGGTGGCATAACCAACTGTATGCTGGCTCTGTCTCCCCTCCATCCAACTGCCTCCCCAGACTTCCATGCAGTGAGCTTGTAACTCAGAGCTGATGAAAGCCCCCACACCTGCCTCCCCACCCGCCATCAGTGCCCTTCATACCTCTTGGTGCTATCCTTCCCATAGTTAAGCACTGGATACCTCCTGATCCCTGGCTGGGACTCTTCCCTCTCATTCCTATTCATTCTGGAGTAGGAGGTAAAGCAAGATCAAAGTGGGACCCCCCCTCCCCCAGATGAGCCTCTCTTCTGCTCCCTTGACCCAGCTCTGCGCACTCTCCTCTCCCCACCCTGCCCCACTCCTAGGTCCCCAAGCATTCTAGGGACTGAGATGTTGGGCACAAATCAGGATCCTATATGGTGCTGGCCTGTTCATAACTGGGAACTGTATGAAAAGAGGAATGAATGGTCTGTGGTCTATTTAATCTGCTTCCTTCTGAAGGAAGTCTGGGATGTGATGAGATTCCAGAAGGATCTCTACCCTTTCTCATCCACTATGCACCCCTCCTCCCCAGGTCATAGGGCAGAATCGGCATCTCAAGAATAAACCAAGAAACTGTGCTCTTTTTTTTCTTTTTTCTCTTTAAAAAATCTTCATTTGTAGGGGGTGGTGGCAGCATGCCACAGCATGTGTGTAGGGGTCACAAAGTGTGTGTGGAGGTCACAGCACTTGTGAGGAGGTCAGAGAGTACCTGTGAGGAGGTCAGAGCATGCATGTGGAGGTCAGAGCACGCGTGTGGAGGCCAGAGCATGCGTGTGGAGGCCAGAGCACGCGTGTGGAGGCCAGAGCACGCGTGTGGAGGTCAGAGCACGCGTGTGGAGGCCAGAGCATGCGTGTGGAGGTCAGAGCACGTATGTGGAGGCCAGAGCATGCGTGTGGAGGTCAGAGCGCGCGTGTGGAGGTCAGAGCATGCGTGTGGAGGCCAGAGCATGCGTGTGGAGGTCAGAGGACAACTTGTAGGAATTTGTTCTCTCCTTTCCACCAAATAGGTTCCAGGGATTGAACTTGGGTCCTCAGACTTGGCAGTAACACAACATACCTGCTAAGCCATCTCTGGTTTTCTTTCCTTTTTTTCTTTCTTTCTTTCTTTCTTTCTTTCTTTCTTTCTTTCTTTCTTTCTTTCTTTCTTTCTTTCTTTTTCTTTCTTCCTTCCTTCCTTCCTTCCTTCCTCTCTCTCTCTCTCTCTCTCTCTCTCCCTCCCTCCCTCCTCCCCTCCCTCCCTCCTTCCTTCTTTCCTTTCTTTTTTTGGTTTTTAAGACAAAGTCTCTTACTGGCTTGAAATTTGCCAAGCAGGTTAGCCTGGCTGGCCCGTGTCTGCTTCTCAGTGCTAGTGTTACAAACACACAGCACCGCACTTGGCTTTTTTTTTTTTTTTGGTTTTTCGAGACAGGGTTTCTCTGTGTAGCTTTGCGCCTCTCCTGGAACTCACTTGGTAGCCCAGGCTGGCCTCGAACTCACAGAGATCCGCCTGCCTCTGCCTCCCGAGTGCTGGGATTAAAGGCGTGCACCACCACCGCCCGGCGCACTTGGCTTTTTTAAACCTTGGTTCTGGGTATGAACTCAGGCCTTCATACTGTGAAACAAGCACTTTACCAAGCCATCTGCCCAGTCCTTGGCCTCCTGTCCTAATTATTTAGGAATGGCTTCTGAATATCATGTATCACAGAGGCCAGGGGCCTGTCAATCAAGGGCCTGGGCTGACCAGTTCTGTGATGAAGCATCTGAGGCGAACAGAAGGAGGAAGGGTGGGGTTAAGCCTGTGCTGTGGGAGCATCTTGGCCTGTGATTGGTCCCAGCACTTTGGACCTGCGGTGAGGCAGAGATATAGTGGGGAGTACATGGTAGGGAACATGGTGGGTAGTACATGGTGGGGGCGCATGGTGGAGCACGTGACGAGAGCACATGGTGGGGAGCATGGGGGAGCACATGGTGGGGAGCATAGAGGAGCACATGGTGGGGAGTACAAAGGAGCACGTGGTGGGGAGCATGGTGGGTAGTACATGGTGGGGGCGCATGGTGGAGCACACGGTGGGGAGCACGGAGGAGCACATGTTGGGGAGCACGGGGGAGCACATAGTGGGGAGAATGGGGGAGCACAGGGTGGGGAGTACATGTTTGGGAGCATGGGGGAGCACATGTTGGGGAGCATGGGGGAGCACATGATGGGGAGCATGGGGGAGCACATGGTAGGGAGCACGGAGGAGCACATGGTGGTGAGCATGGGGGAGCAGAGCTATTCACCTCACAACAACCAGGAATCAGAGAGAGAAAGAGAGGAAGGAACACATGTTTTTGAGGTCCTTTCAAGGTTCCCCAAATGACCCAATTCCTTCACCAGGCCCCACCTGAACTTTTTCTGATACCACTGTCAACTGGAGATGAAATCTTCAACATAAGAGGCTTTGGGGGCCCTTCTTTTTTGGTTTTTCGAGACAGGGTTTCTCTGTGTATAGCCCTGGCTGTCCTGAAACTCGATCTGTAGACCAGGCTGGCCTCAGACTCACAGAGATCCGCCTGCCTCTGCCTCCTGAGTGCTGGAATTAAAGGCCTGGGCCACCATGCCCAGCTTGCTTTGGGGATGTTTAAGATTCAATTCATGGGGCTTGGCAAGATAGCTCAGCAGCTAAAGGTGCTTGTCACCAGTACTGGTGACCTGAGTTCAGTCCCCAGCACTCACATGGTGGGAGGAGAGAACCAATTCCTGCAAGCTGTCCTCTGACCTCCATAGTCTTGTGTGCTCTTCCTCCCAATAAAAATATGTGAAAATAAAAATTTAAGATTTAAACTAGACCAGGGATGGTGGTGCGTTCATTTAATCCCTGTCCTTGGGAGGCAGAGGCAGAAGGATCTCTGTGAGTTTGAGGTCTTCCTGGTGGACAGAGTGAGTTCCAGAAGAGCTACATGGAGAGACTCTGTATCAAAGAACAAAAAGCAAGATGAAAAAAGATTCAAACATCCAGGGACCAACTGTAGAAGTTGAAAATATCCTCTCTCTCTCTCTCTCTTTTTCTTCAAAGACAGTCATGTAGTCCAGAGTGCCTTGAAATCATTATATAGCCAAGGATGACCTTGAACCCTTGATCTCCCTGTCTCCACCTCCCTAGTCCTGGGAGCACAGGCATTCTCTCCACAGCTGGGTAACGCCCTGCTGAGGATGGAGCCCAGGGCCTCACACGCTAGGCCAGCACTCCGCAACAGTCCCAGTCCCCAAGGGGACAGTCTCTGGCTTGCCTGCATGATGGATCCAGAGGTTCCCACTGGACATGGTGAAAGTTGGAGGTGATATGAGCAGTGTAAGGTTTGGGTGACAGTTCAGGGTGAGTCTGGAGGGGAAAGAATTGAACCAGGAGTTGAAGTTTGCTGTGAGTTGGAGGCTGGAAACCAAGCTGGGTGAATTCACCTGAAGCTGAGGGCAAGGCTGCTAGAGAGCTTGCCTGGCATGTGCAAGGTTCTGGGTTCCAAATCTACCACCTTAAAAAAAAAAGTGCTCCAGGTGGTGGCAGTGCACGCCTTTAATTCCAGCACTCAGGAGGAAGAGACAGGTGAATCTCTGAGTTTGAGGCCAGCCTGGTCTACAGAGCGAGTTCCAGGACAGACAGGGCTACACAGAGAGACCTTGTCTTGAAAAACAAAAAAACAAACAGAAAGTGCAGATGGAAGTGGTTGGAGTTGGAGACTGACTTCCGCCACATTGAATGAGCCTGTGGCTGTGGAGTGAGGAGGGCCGTTTGAGTTAAGGGTGGAGTGATGAGTGGGAAAGGCTAGAACTAGGGGACCAGAGAGATGGACCAGTTGCCAAAGGCACTTAACACACTGCAAGCTTAGAACCTGAGCTTGATTCCTGGGGCCAGTGGGAAGGTGGAAGGAGGGTACCGACTCCACAGAGCTGTCCTTTGTCCTCCACAAATGCTCCATGGCACAGATGCGCATGCACAAACACACACACACACACACACACACACACACACACACACACGAGTGTAATTCACGGTCAAGTATTGCAGGCAGCTGCACTGGTAATTTGCCCAAATCATGCAGCCTGGATCCCCACAGTTCTTTGGTTTTTTTTTGTTGTTGTTGTTGTTGTTTTTCTACACACAAAATCCACATCCTGGTTGACACACTTGAGTTAGCAAGAACAGTTAGCAAGAAGCAGAAGTAGAAGCTAGAAGGCAATGTCGGTACATTTAGGGACTTTCCTGCTTCCTGGGACTGTGGTCCAGGTCTTCAATGGCTTGGGTCTTTGCTGCTATTTTGGTGGGTGTACCTGCTGAGTTTTAAGGTCAGAATGATGCCTCTAACATGGCATCAGTTGTGCTGAGGTCTGGGGGCCTGTTATAGAGAGACCAAGGCAGGAGGATTATGATTTTGACATCAGTCTAGGCCACATAACAAGTCCTGTCTCAGTGATCATGAGACTGGTCTCCCTGGTGGGCTGTGCCTCTGTGGGGGCTAAAGGGACTTCAGCTAGCGTGGGCAGCTTGGGACTCAATATAGAGTCTGCTGAGATGAACGGGGGGGTTGGAGGGACTTGAGGGTTACATGTTGGCCTGGGGTTTTTTAAAAACAGCTTTGTGCAGTTATGATTTATACAGCATGTAATTCACTTGTTTAAGATATACAATTAAGTGGTTTTTAGTAAATTCAAACTTGCCCTACCATCACCATAATTTTATATATCCACATCGCCCCAGAAAAAAATTCCGTACCCATAAGCACTGCTTATTCTTCTCCATCCCTAGACAGCCTCACTTTTCTGTTTCCAAAAATCCACCTCTGCTGGACATTCTACACACATGGAATTAAAGGGCTGGGGTGAGTGTGGGTAAGTGCTTGCTGCTAAGCTCAATGACTTGAGCTCAGTCTCTGGAACACATTTGGTGAAGGAGAGAAGCAATTCCTGCAAGCTGTCCTCTGCCCTCCTCACTTATTCACACACGCATACCACAAACGAGTAAGTGCAAATAAAAATTTTGTTGGCAGCTGGGTGGTGGAGGCTCATGCCTTTAATCCCACCCAGCACTTGAGAGGCAGAGGCAGGTGGATCTTTGAGTTCAAAACTGGCCTAGTCAATATAATGAGTTCCAGGCTAGCAGGGATACACATCGAGACTCTGTCTCAAAAAACAATAAGTGTGTGTGTGTGTGTGTGTGTGTGTGTGTGTGTGTGTGTGTGTGTGTATGTGTATGGGGTGGGTGTTTAGCCTGCTTGTGTGTATGTGTACTGTGTTCATGCAGTGCTCACAACAGGCCAGAAGAGGGCGCTGATCCCCTGGGACTGGAGCTAGGGATGGTTGTAAGCCACCATGCGGGTGTTGGGTATGGAACCCAGGTCCTTTGGAAGATAAGTCAGTGCTCTTAACTACTGAGTCATCTCTCCAATCCTAAAAAGAATAAGTTTTTTAAGGGTTAGACACAGACTCACGGACAGAGTTTCTGCCTTGAATAACGAGGGGTTGGGGGAGCGGTCTGTGGTAGAGCACTCACTTGGCATATGTAAGACCCTGGGATCCATTCCCAGCACCACAAATACATAAATGCAGATAATAAAACATGTCTTA